AATTCCTAAATATCATGTTTCATCAGCGAAAAAATACAGGGTGTCTCATTCAAATAAAAAAAAGAGTGTATTTCCAGTTAAACCGGAAGTGCATTATTAACCAAAACATTCACATCAGATGCATATATCTTGCGTCCTTTATCAATTTCCTCCTTATCGTTTGAAAAATATTCACTTTGTTCCATGAACACAGCCATAGTGAGACCAATCATTACCTATGGGGCAGTGGAGTGATATAATAATAGTCCGGGAGCCCACAACGTGTTTTTTATCTCATTTGTTCATACTCAGTAGTGTACGAACCCCAAAGTCCATCTTCCACTATACGGATTGGCCGAGTGGGTCAAATATTAAAAAAGGGTATCAAAAAAATCCGGGGTATTGAATCAATAATCATTACTTACCGTTCGGCGTATGTCGCAAGTTACTGTAATTGACAAACAGTTTGGGCGGATGGCATTGCCGAACGTGTAGCGTGGATACGATGTGCAGTTGTATATTGTTGTGAACAAATTTTTAACTGAAAGTTATCGTTTGTTAATGCTTGTCATCTCGCGAATTCAACTAATTCAACTAATTATACTATTATACTAATTAAACTGATTATTATATTAATTATACTGCTTAGTGTGAATAAATGAGACACAAAAAAAACGTCCTGGGCTCCCAGTCTATAAGCTGTAATTCCGATGAATTATAAAGTGAACTTGTGACTCATTATTAAATTCAGAAAAAATACGAAAAAAAATCATTATTATTCACATGCTGAAGAATTGCAGAAAAATGTGAAAAATGAATATACTTAATGATTACAATACAATATACTCACTTACCAGCCATTTTTATTCTCTTGCTGTAACTTCACAAACGTTGAAATGAAACAAAAACCAGACTAGTTGATGAGGTAATAAATAAGCCGGTTTAAATATAATGTTGTTATCTTATCAGCATCTGTTACAATATGGCAGTCAAATCAACTCAAGGGAAACAAAATGTGTATGTACATTGGATTACTAATACAGTCAACATTGGTGGTGAAGTATGCACATATGATTGATTTCAAGGTAACTTGTTGAAACCAGATACGTTGATAACATTATCATGCACCCACTTACAGGAACATATATCTATTTTTTTCCATTTAAATTGGAATTACGTTCCTATTTCCCTCAGCTAGTTAACCCTGTAATCATTCTCTTCAAACAATACACAAAGTTTCAACATTTTTGCGCCACTCCATTCTCATGAGTATAAACAAATATGTTTACTAGAAGTCTTCTGACATTATCTTGTATCTCGAGTGATGCAAGATTTTTATTATTTTTATGGTATCTGTCATCATGATATCATGTCTAAGGGTATATCATCAGGATTTCTGACTGAATATCACAATACACAATATTTATGCACGATGGACTCCAATACAATATCAATAAGATATCTTCATCAAGGATTGTTGCATAAAAGTACAACAGTCGTCGACAAATAATTAATATAACAGGTATCTTCAATTTTTGGTTTTCTCAATGTAAAATGAGTTATGATAAAAATGAAAATAAATTGATATATCAAAAACAATAGTAGTCGTGGACAAAGTATAGTATTCTACTCGCATGTAATGAGCTATTATTCACTCAGGATAATTATGCCACTCCCTACATAAACTCAACCTTCGTGAATAATAGCCCTTGAATAACAACAAGCATATAATGAGTGCTGGTAGCTACCACTAAATCTGTAAATTAATAGTATATTATTCAACAAGCATATTAGCTCATCATATGCGAGTGAAATAGTATACTTTGTACACGACTACTATTGTTTTTAATATATAAATTTATTTTCAACAAAACGAAAAATTGGTACGAGGTTGGGCATCCCCGAGTTCCTAACAACGATTACCATAGGGTGACAAAAATTCTGATGTCAACAGTTGATAATTAGATATTGAAATTTGTGTTAATAGTTTTTTTTGAGTGGAAACTTTTTTAGGCTCGTTGAGCACTTTTTAGGAGTCCCGAATTGCAATGTTTTGTGAATTAGCATTGTGAAAAAATCGATATTTTTCACGGGTTAGTTTTTGTACAAAAATTTTACAGAATATTTCTTATCGCAAACACTACAGTTATAGGTATAGAAAATAATCAGGAAAATGTATGGAAGATCTTATAAGGATTCCAAAATCGACATAATATACGGGGTGTTCCATTTGAAATAAAAAAGTAGCTACTACTTTCTGAAGCGGCAACACTATATTGAAGAAAATATTTCAGATGAATAGATCATGCTTGTTCATCTACGACCACAAATTTTCGAAATGAGATGTCGCTCGGTTCTCTAGATACTTCTAATGTTCCATCCACCGTGAAACACTTTGTATGTATCTTGATTGTCCTCGTACATCCCATCAAAATTGTAAACAAAAATGATTGGATAAAATACATCCACGCAATATAATATGGAGATAATGCGTCAGATATCAAATAATATATTCACGTTCATCTATTTAGGGTTGACATCCACACATAAAACGCATCCGTAGCTGGAAGCAGAAGTTATGTCAAGGTCACAGTTAACTGTAACCTACAAAACCCGCTCTATTCGGAAATGTCCAAGCTATTTTTGCCACAATATCTGTTTGTCTGAAACTAGCTTCAACTAATTCATTTCATAAGAGAGACACCCCATATACTGTCGATATACAGGGTTTATCTAAATAACACCTTGTGATATTTAAGGAAATACTGTCAAGAAGTACAAATGTCTATGAAATAACTTTCGTTCATTTCTAGATCTTTATTCCTAAATTAACTTTTCCAAATTAGAACATCTTGTACAACGTTTCGATCAGGTCAAAGCGGAGTTCATAGACTCTAGTTCCGGTAAAATTTGCATGAAACCGCTTAGCTTGCGATGCGGGCCAAGCTATACGCCCGGTATCGAGCATTGCCATTGCGGAAAATTGCAATGTTAGCATCGATTCCAAATATAAATAGATTCCGAATCGATAAGCCATTCATTACTGAATTATTACTGATTTTTGATGATTATTGATCATCCATTTCTCAATTACTGATCATTCATTATTATTGATTATTCATTACTAATTATAATGCATTTCGATAACACTTTACTTTATTCCGTAATTGAGTTACTTATTCACGAGTTGCTGCCAAATGTGTACCGTCTTCCCGACTTTGATCCTGCTGGTCAACCCCATGTTAGATGTCATAATGTAAGTACTGTTTTCCATGTTCTATCTGATTTGTTATTTCTGTGTTGTGTTCCGTTTGGTAAATTTACTATTGTTTGTCTCTGCTACTTTGCCATGTGGCAAGCATTTACGACTTTCCCAGTAAATCAATAAATGTTAATTTTATACGAAAACTATCTTGACTTCATTTGGGGATGAATATGGTTGGGTGGTAAAATGATCGAAATCCTCTCATCAAGCCAAGCGAGTAGCCAAGTTGCGATCCATAGGAGGGCAACATCTGAGTTGCGACATGTGGTGGACACGCCGTTTGCCAAATAATCTACCAAAACCATCTGAGTTGCGACAATACATTTCATATAAACATGTGTCCTAACTTGCTTCGTTTTCGAGATACAGGGTATTAATATTTCCATGAAAAATCGCGGTTTTATTCATTACTCAGTTGTCTTTTCATCAATTTCAATAAAACGTTGTGGTTTTGTTAATAGTAATATGAGGCTTCTTCTGGTGCAACTATATTCGGAATAATATTTCCAGTGGCGTCACAGTGGGTAAATTTATCGATATTCATGATTAATGTCATTGTACGCCACCGGTTTTTGTGAGTTTCATATTTTTATTAGATTGAACTATTCAAATAACAAATTTTTTATCGTTGAAAATAACACAATAAATCAGATGTGAATCACCCTGTGATAAAGATCAGCTTTGGTTGATTCTGTACATGGTTGTTCTTCCTAAAGGTTGAACTGAAAAACTGCTAGCAGAAAATTCTGATTAATTTGTCTTTTCTTGGAGATATGGGTAGATGAAAAGGGGGCATTCCTCAACTTCAACACCCTGTATCTCAAAAACTGGTCATAGGATCGGATTAGGACTCGGCATATTTGATCATTAGGTCGAGTTCTAAAATATATCAGAAATTCAGGAAATTCGACAGAACGCCATTTTTATATAGAAAAAGTGCGGGGTCCTTTCAATGTATGCGTGTTTTCAAGACTTCCATTGAGATTACTCAATAACCCCAATTAGAACCATCTTGAAATTTTGTGACTTTCTCTGCCTCCAACCATACTGAATTTTGGCACCATAAAAGCTTATACAGGGTGGTTATAAATAAAAACAATTAATACTTCCAACTTCAACATCCTGTATCTTAAAAACGGAGCAAGTTAGGGCACATGTTTATATGAACTTCATTTGCTAGAATATTAGAAGGAAACACTCCTTGAATTTTTTTGGTGTTATTTAGATACAATGGGTGCAACGAAGACAAGTCGTTTTACCTCGAATTGAAGAAAATACGAGTAGATGTTGTGGGCTCATGTGTTTATAGTTCATTCATATTCAAATTGGGAAAATGTCATAGGCGATGGAACTCGCAAAAATGTTTTTCTTTTCAAATGACACCCTGTACATCTTTTTGGTTTCGTATTCCCCGAAACGACGATGCGTTAACACTAGAACTCAACCACGTATATCATATTCAAGTTAGAGAAAACATGTTCAGATTCGTTGTTTATACATATAATGATATAGAAACCAGTCGATAATTTGCTTTGATAGAGAAATAATGAAAACAGGATTTAATCAGTGATTAGGTACGTTATATCATAATCTGAAAAAATGTACATATTTATTTATAAATAGTAGTAATTCATATAGTATGCTGAATTGTATAAATAGAATGTATAGTTATCATGAAGCCTACTTAAAATGCCATAACTTTTTACACAGCTCACTCGACTCAAACCTTTGAAGGACCTCATACGTTTCTCAATGTTCATTTCCTTGATTCCAGCTGAGAAACCATCGCGTTAATTTTGTCTCCCAGTTGATTTTGTGGGAACTGAGTGTTACATTTCCCCTGTACATACAGAAGACTCTGTATATCCCTTTGCTGAAATGCTATATCGGCAGCTTCCTCCAAACATCTGAAAATCAGAGTTCAAACTTCGTTCAGATAAACGGAGAACCATTTCCCCTTATGAAACGGTACAAAATCATCTATACGGCTATTTAATTTGAAGAATCACGGACAGTTTCGGACATAAACCTAAGTTTTGAGGAGTCCACCACTAGCTATAATACCTACCATCATTTACTCCTTTTCGAGGCGTAATATGTGTTTTTACTACCAAGGTAGTTTTTGTCATTTTATGAACCACTAGTCAATTCGCGATAGAAAATAAGCGTACGCCACCTGTCGGAGTTCTTGAAAGCTGTCAAAGCGGCATGTTTACTTTTTTTCATTGGTTCACATTTGTTTTTTGTTGGTGTTTATTGGGCATAGCATCAAAACAAACCGCTCAGAAGTGTTCAAGTTGCTGCCGTCAGGTGGAGCGACGTGTTATTTTCTATCGCGAATAATGACATAGCCACTTTTGTATAATTAAACCGAATTCACTGTTCTGATGCGAGATTCGCAGAAATGGGACTTGAATATAGTATGTATTTATCAATAACGACTTGACATAAGCTGTCATAGTCATATGACGATTATATTTTAATTATAATTAAAGAGAAGTGCTTTCATAGTGACAATAGGTCCATATTTCAGTTTCACAGAACGATAATGATTGAAATATATTAATAATAATAATAATCTTAATTTGAAATAGGAACATCCTAATTTACATACGTTTCTGATATTTGTAATTAGTAATAGAAATACCTAATGCTAAACAAAGAATGCTAATAATATATATATACCAAAAATATAAAATAAAAAATACACCTATAGTGTCACAATCCTTAGAGATTGAAATATTTATACATACATCTTATACTCATTTACACTCAGTATACATGAGCAACACAACCCACACACACTTACACACATGCCTTCCATAGTTCATCTTTTTACATGTACAGTGGTGAAATGATTTCATTTAGACGAATTTTAAATGTGTTTAGAGACGGTGAATTTTTTACTTCATTCGAGAGGTTATTAAAACCATTTAAGCCCTTGAAGAATAATGTTTTCATTGAGCTTATGTTATGCCAGTTCAAAGTACTTAACATCAGATCAATTGGAACATATTTATTGCATTGCAGAATGATTCTCATACCCCTATTTTGAAGTTTTTGTAACGTCATTAAACAGTTTTTGTCCAACAGGTACAGTAAGCTAGCACAATAGTCAAAGTGGGGTTGAATTATCGTCCTATAAATGGTTATTTTGGAAAAGAGAGATGTTTTGGGATACTCTAGATAGAAAGAATAGCTTCTTTGATATTTTTTTACAGATGTAATCGCTGTGACTTTTGAAACTTAGTCTATCATCTATCATAAAACCTAGATATTTGAATTCCTTAACCCATTCCAGATTTTCACCTTCTATTTTAATGTGTAAATGTTGGTAGTTTACGTTTTTTAATTTATATTTTGTACTCAGGATCATTGCTTTTGTTTTCTTTGAATTTAATTTCATCTTATTAGTTTTCAAAAATGATTCGAATGATTTTAAAACATGATTTAGTCTCGTTACCGTTTCACCTAAGTTACTACCATAACATTCTACTAAAGTATCGTCCGCAAAAAGGTTAAGAAAATCATAGCCCCTTACAAAATTGATATCATTCAGGTAAATTATGAATAGGAGAGGCCCCAAAACACTGCCCTGGGGCACCCCCATATCAATAGCCAGTTCACTAGAAAACGCTTTTTCCATTTTACATTTCTGAGACCTTTTGCTTAGATATTGTTCAAACCATTTCAACACATTACCTTCAATACCGTAATATTTTAGTTTTGTTATTAAGATTATTCTATATTGCTAGTGGCGAAAACAATTTAATATACACCTTGGTTGTAAAGAATATTATTACCACGGCTGATGCCTCGGGATATAATCTTGGTCCCTGGGTGATAATGATATTCTTTACTACCTTGGTGTATATCTAACTATTACCTACGGCCACTATAGAAAGTAGGCAAGAACACACGGGATACAGCCTCAGTAAGTAGCTCTTTGCGCACAGTGAGCACATCGCACAGTTTTCGTTTATTCCGCCAGTATATCATGTTCGCGTAATCGCCGTCAACAGCAGATGACATAACTGTCAAGAATTATAATTCAGACTGTTTGTCCAAACTTGTTTGATGTACTATATGGCGGTGGGCGAAGTATAGTACGTAATGCGTGTTGTAAAGCAATTAACTTTTTGTAAACAAGTAACTTTTCCATTAGTGCGTAATATGCTTCTTACAACACATATAACGTAATATACTATTTTACTAGCGACATCAAAAATGTTATGAGGGTTTTTATACAAAATGTCCCATAATGTTCAAGTACTTGAACAATGAAATATCCAAAAATATTAGAATTGTGTAACATAGGCAATCAAGAAACGGAATTAGGAGCAATAAATTATTGTCAAATGGATTAAATTGAATATTAAATAAAAATGATCGATACATTTTGAAGGTCTTCTGATAATGATATACTGGGTAATTCTCCAACCCTGACTTCTTTATTATTGAAAAAATAAGAACGAAATTTGGGGGGGTTGTGTATTATACATACAGGGTTGGGCAAAAATATGGAACCAGGTGAATATCTCGGTAACCGTTTGTTAGATTTCTTCGAGTATTATGTACTGGGCGATTTCAAAACGTGGTGGATTTGATAATGTTATCGTCGATGTTGCCACTTCTTCAGTTATTCCGGAATTATTATCAACTTTCTTATTTTAAATAGAACACCCTGTATTTTATTGAATTCATAGATTCTTTCTGAGAAGCTGATTCCATCGATGCATCACACTTGGGGTCTAGCAAGAATGATTACTGGGATATAGGGTGTTCAAAATCGAGATTTTACAATTACTATAGGATTTTTTTGTGTCGAAACTATTCATTATTGGTCAACACGGCTCACATGTCACTACGGCAACTTTTGATTCACTATCTACCGACATTTAATTGGAACAAATACAGGGTGGTTCAAGATTCAGAAATCTGATCACCCTGTATCCGTTTCCAGTAGTAGTAGATCAAAAGTCAAGATAGGGCCATGAGAGCCGTTTCGACCGAAAATGAGTAGTTTCAACAAAAAAAATCATAAAGTTGAAAAATCTCGATTTTTGAACACCCTATATCTCAGTAATCATCCTTGCTAGACCCCAAGTGTAATGGATCGATGAAATCAGCTTTCTAGGGAGAATCTGAAAATTCAATAAAATACAGGGTATTTTATTCAACATAAGGAAGTTGATAATAATTCCGGAATAACTGAAAAAGTGGCAACATCGACGATAACATTTTCAAAACCACCACGTTTTGAAATCACCCTGTACGTATATTCAAGAAAATCTAACGAATGAATACCGCGATATTCACCTGGTTCCATACTTTTTCCCAACCCTGTATATTGTGAGTCACGACTAACCAGAAATAGCCTAATGGCGGATATGAAGGGGAATATGTTTCGGACAGTCATATGTCCATCATCAGCCTATGATAATGATTGAAATTTGTGTGTGCTTTGCAAAAATATTCCAATCATAATGTTCTCAACATTTTTTTTTTCATTCACGACCTTTGGTTTGTACGGATTATAGGCACATGACTGTCCGAAACATGTTCCCCTGAATAATCTTTCGATTATTAAACATTGTCGAGATGATTTTGTGTTTTCTAACCATTTTATAATACATAACCCCAAATCTCGCTTTTCTATCATCTATAAAACATAAGTTATAAGGTTGAGCCACCTTAGAGAATCACCCGATATAATTATTAATGATATAGTCGTCGAAAAAAGTATCCAAGTATAGCAAAATACACCTAAATATAGGCATTATCAAGAAATGGGTTCGATTGGTTGGATTGTAAAACAAATAATGGAAATGAGTTCATCCACTTGAAATCTTACAGATTAGATAGAACTGTTTGCGTCATATTTCTTCAGAAATAAGTAGTAAACACTTCAGTTTCCATCTGAGTGTTTTAAGTAAAGTGATTTATCAATTTTTCTACTACCAGAAATCTGAGATATATCGATAAAAATATAAATACACATTGCACTCTAGTATGTTTCGTGGAAGCACTCATTCCTTGAAAGATGGTTTGCCTCGAAATGAAGAACAATCATCACATGATTGTACTCACAGTATACCATGTGTTTTGTGTTTGTAATTTGTAAAAAATTATGGAGCCGAAACAAAGAGACATGTCTCAGTGAAGAGGAAAGAACAATACATAGAAAAGTCATAAAGACAAATTTAGCTGAACATGTCATTAATGAAAATCATAAGAAAAAGAGAAGAGAACATTAAAAAAACCTAGAGTAATTAACCAAAATACACTCCACAAACTCAGTGGACTAGGGCTACTCACAGATTCCTTGAATGATATTTTCCTCTATTTAAAAGACATAATACTGACCTACCATAAGCTCGACCATAAGTGACCTGAAGCATGTGACAAAAAATCTAGGCATGAAAACAAACGAAGATAATAACACTAATGAGTATAGTAATAAGAATAACCGATGTTTCAAGTAATGAATATAACATGCTAATTATTTAGTTGACATTGAAAAATAACGAAAACTATGGTAAACTATTGCAGATATGTTCAAAAATATAATAATGAAAAATATTTATGAAGATATTGGGATCATATTTGTTTGTCTGATTCGTAAAAATGAAATGATGACCATATAACTAACTACATCCATTAATCTTTTGGGCAAATTCAATTAAAAAAAAATGGAACGTTGGTCAATATTTGAAATTTTTAAAGACTGTTCCATATCCTCGGGAGATAAGAAGGCATTGATGATAAATTTTGAGCCTGCATTTTCGTTATTTCTGTTGCTGATGTTAGATTTAAAAAATCTTGGGGATAATAACCCGGGATCATAGGTTTTATCTTGGGATTTCGAAAAGAGTTCCTGATCCCAAATATTTCAGGACGTCTGTTATCAAACCTTTTCAATCAAGATTAGATTACAATTGATTGACTGTCTTCTTTACCCCAACAAACATAACTGTTTATAATTTGAATACATGATAACCAAATATTGACAAAACATTAAGAAACTGACAGGTTTCCCAATAAATTCCACTCAGTGGAAAAGAATTCTCAGATTAATTTGAGAAGAAAGTTGTTCCATTTCAATGCTGTGTAATCACATCATGATGAATACCAATTTGTTCAAACTGTATTGACCAAGTATTTTTCAAGATTTTGAATCTTCTAGCATCAAGCATACTTTCCAACTCATTCGATAAGAGCTGTATAAAATTATTCCATTATGAAATACCAATGCTCGACTGTCTTATTCTATAACTATGGACGGTATATGATTCAACAAAAGCTAGGTTTGATATTTTCCATTTTCCATTTTCCTGGCAAAATTATCTAACAAATTGTGAAATCATAAAGTGAAATCAAATTTAGAAAATGTCTTGCTTCGTTTGAATTTACTGTTGGTTCTTAAAAATGAAGGTATATTAAAAATGCGTGAGATATTTGCACTTCCCCAAATAAAAATATATATTGTAAATTTCAAAAGAGACTAAGGAAAAAATTGTATGAAATGCCTAAAATTAGATTCATTTTAACATTTGAGATATTTTTTTTTCAGAATGTAGTTACCATTTTTACGTAAATGATGCAAAAAAACAACTAGCACCGATAGTAAACAATTTCGTACTGAGGTAAGTATTAAGTATGTTTCGAGGTTTGTTTCTTTGCTTGTAGTATGAGGAATACGTGATAGGTTTTTGTGACAACCTTTTAACAAAGAAGGACCAGGGCCGGATTAAGACCACTTGGCGCCTGGGACAAAATATATTTTTTTCTGTGACGGAGAAATAGTTTGACATTTCATCTCTATTGACAGATTATAAAATGTCACCTTTCGAATATTACTTTTTTCCCACGAAAAAAAAAATAGTTCTTTTTTCCCGGAAATATATACAGGGTGTCCGTTTTTCGAGCTCCATCATGGGGATCTGTTATTATGAGAGATACGAGGTCGGTTAAATTAGGACAAAGTTGCACAGTTTTAGTATTTGTGCTATAAGTACAACTAACAGCCTAGCCTACGAGTTTACCATTTAAAAACTTCTACGATAATTTTCTGATGTTTTTTGTTGTTGTTCAACTATAGTTATTTTCGACCAGAAAGCCATAAAATATGTTAGAAAATTCTTTGGAATTTATATTATTGACGAACAATTATCGTGGGCTAAACATATAGAACACCTGAGAAAAAAGCTAAATCCAATAACTGGCATTTTATACAAAATTCGAAATTTCCTTCCTCTTAGATATTTGAAGAATATATATTTTTGTCTGATTTACTCAAAATTACAATATTTAATATCAATTTGGGATAGCACAAGTATATCACATTTGAAACCATTAATGAAATTACAGAATAAAACAATTAAGTGCATTTACAATTTACATTACCTGGAACCAACTATTAATCTTTACAATACAAAAAATCTGGTGAATTCATCATCTTTATATAAAATAAATATTCGTTCTTTCATTCATTTTGTGAAAAAAAAATATCCAACTTGAACTTTACTGAAGTAAATACAATTCATATTCATGAAACGATACAGTTGAATTCATTAATAGCAAACCTATATTATTGGCAAACAATCAGTATTCTACAACGGAATCATTTTATATAATTCATTACCTTATGATTTGAAACATATTGATGATGAAACAAGATTCAAAGTCAATATGAAAAAATATATACTCATGACACTATGAACGGAGCAATTTATTCTCATTTGAATACTTGGAATGATTTTATTTTAATTATTATGTTATATTGACCTAACTCGTTAATTAGTTGTTTTTTTTATTGTTATATATATATTATATCATATGTTTATATATCCCTATTATAAACAAAGATGTTCCTTGGGGTAATAAAGAACAACAACAACAATATCATTCAACCTGGTAATTTTCGGGCTTAGTTTTATTTAGTTGTCTCAGCAGAGTATAGCAAATTTCCATAGAAAAAACTACAACTGGCATAAATTGAACTTTCAACAAGAAAATGCCGTGCAGCGCGCTGTCACACGAAATATCGGTCGAGAATGCATATCCATCTCAAATATTCACGAGCCGCAATGGGGTTGTACACCCTGGTCGAATTTACGCCACATACCTATTTTATACTGATCATTCCGTGTGTAAATAGTATTTGATGCAATCATTCGTTATTTAAAATCATTGCAAATGTTTTTTTCAAAAATTAAATTCAACGACTTCGAAAAACGCCAGGTGCGATGACGTCATGAACCGAATTCTGGATTTCGCATGAAAAGTAGGACCACATATTTCGACGCTGCCAGATTTGTAACTAGTAATTACCTAGATAGATTTTATTGAAGTTTTCAATTTGGGACAGTTGAAAAACTCAAGTCACAGGTACTAATATAAATTACAAACAAGGATGACATCAAATATAAAAAAGTATCTTAAACTCAACTAGCTGAAACAAAAACACGTAGAACCATAGAAATCTGATGCAAAAAATTATATTTCCAAGATTTCCTGTAATGAATACGGTTCAGTGTTACATAGTAGATATATATGAACAATGACAATAGTATTCACTTTCACAGAAGACATTATAAGTTCGATCTGGTCCCTAATAATCAATTGCAAGATGCTTCAATACCAATAAAAATATCTTAGTATTCTTAATAATGATCAAGGTTTTAATTAATCCCAAATTATTTTGTGACACGGGCAACAGTGTAATGCTCAAGTTCCCAGAAATACAAAAAAAGAAGAAGAAGACAAACTACATTGTCAACCAATTAAACTAATTAATGAGCAGAGTGAAAGCAGTAGAACTAGACTTGCTAAATGTGCTTGAGCTCAAAAGTAGTTGCGTGAAATTGCTTGTAGATATTCTAGAGCCAATATGGTGAAAGATTGAAATAACTGTAAAGTGATTAGTTTTTGACAGGTTCCTCAGAGGGTATAAAAAGCTTTCAGACCCACTGTGAAGTGGATCCCCATTGAGGATAAACTTGAGGAGGCGTGTTCTTGGCCAGATAGCCCAGGCAGCTAAGGCCATTCAAAGTGAAGGGAAGAAGAAGAAGGAGAATCAAACTAATTTCCTGACGTTAATATCGGCTGTCACCTTCATCATCGAATCCTTGCTTAATCTAGTCAAGATGTGAATATTCAAATATAATCCTTATCCCCTGGTGTTTTCGGATGATTACGTCACTCGTTTTCCCTCATTTTTCATGTTATGAAATATCATTAATTTCAATAATTATTCAAAAAAGTTACAGAGCTCTGAGGAAAGAATGGTTTGCAACAGTGAACTAGTTGGGTTATTTTTCACTGAAACAGGCCCATTGCTGATAATAATTGAAATATTATGTTACCAGACTTACCCAGCTTTTATGCAGTATTTGATTTTGATATCATCTGTCACTTTTGGTAGATACTTCAGAGCCTCCTGCCTATTATCATGTTCAAGGCAAACATCGACAAAAGGAGCATATCCGATGGGAGATTTTTTAACCTTTGAAAACTTTTCAAGTTCGATCCATTCTTTCTGTTTTGCCAAGCTGCTTATTTTCAGCCACCAGTACCTAAGAATAATAAAAATTGTATACACATCAAAGCAATAGTAATATGGTGAATAAAACAATTTTCCTACAACCATCTATAGAAGCTAATGTGTCTTTTTTCGATTTTGTCCACTATGGAAAAAACAAGGGGCAAACAACTCTCATTAAAGTGTACACCATATTTAAAGTATGTGATATTTGTGAGTAATTAAAATATTAACAAAAAAATCAAAGTAATTAATGTTATTAAGAAGTACTGAAGAGTAATTGAAAAGGATTTTAGAATTAATCAGAATACTCAAGATTCAAGATACTTTGAGAGAAATTGAAAAGAATCTAATGATATTGTAAAGGTATTTGAAGTAATGAAGGAAACTCGAAGTTCAACATAAAATAGTATATGTTGATTTTTCTTTCAAATCATCATTTTTTATCTACCGGAGCTATTGAACGTTCCAAAATTTTCAGTTAATTTGATCAATTCCCTATGTTTCCGAGACTGAAAATGAAACAAATCAAGCCAATCCCGTTAATTCGCGATGTGGTAATTTTGTGCATATGGAGGTTCGAAAGCATGACGAACAATATTATGGAGTTTCTTGCGAAAAAATTCCTAACATGATTTCATAAAAGCCGACCCCTTTATTTTTCAATAAAAAAGCACGGTACTGTCCAAAACTCTGTTCGTCTCTGAAAAACTGATCATATTGATGTTATCCATCATAGAAATCGCACAACTATAATAGCTGAGATATAGAGGGGGCGTTTAAAGAGGCATGCTGTATAAAATGAATTTTACCTTTGTATATCAGTATTTCATTTTCGTTGTTGTATTCGTAGTCGAGAGTTGATTTAAATTAATATTCATCAGCGAAGAAACATTTGTATTAACGAAATTATTATAAAACGGATTTTTCTGAAAACTGAATTTTTGATATTCTCAATAAATTGTTGCCTGTCTCTATGGAAGAAAGGGCGCTGGAATTTATTGCGCCACTGCAAACCACTACTGTAATAGAGACTAGTAATCGGTTAGCCAGTTCAGAGAGTCTACACAAAAACTCAAAATACCGTTCCGAATTTTCTAGTGCTCATCGGGAATCTGGGATTCACTCAGTTACTAACGCGAACTTAGGCAGACGAGAAACGTGAACAACCCTGGGTCTCCTCAATACGAACTTAAAAATGATGTCAGGAGACTTCAAAATTATTTGAAGTAATGAATGAATGTACTAAAAAAGTAATTGAAATATTCTGGAAGTAACTAAAATATTCGAAAAGTAAATAAAGTATACTTAAAACGTATTTGAAATACTCAAAAAGTAATAAGAATACTGAAAAGGCAATGAAAATATTTAATAAATAATCGGAGATACTGAAGATATTGAAATGGTAATTTACAAATAATTAAAATAATGATTAGTATTAGAAAATTAATCAAGTAGGTACTGGAAAACTCAGGGTGTACACCATATTTGAAGACTTGTTTGCCCCTCTGGAAAAATGGGCAATTCTGACCCATACAAATTAACTGTTATCACCATTGCACTGATATTTGACAAAAAAACTATCGAAATTGTTAATTAGTGTTTATTTATAGATCATTTTGCAGGTACTAGCTTCAAGAAGAAAAAATAAATGAAATCTTCGGTTTGCTAAAATGTACTGTTATCATAATACTATGTAGTAGAAAAAATGGTGTAGATACGTAACTCATTGGAACTTGTATTTTCTGCACTTGTTACGTTCCGGCACTAACCGCTGAATGTTTACTCATGCGAAATATGTCACTTCCCACACTAGTTATGTAAAGTACTATTTCCTCCTCCCCAATTCCTTTTACCTTTTGTCGGGTATTTTGAAATCGTTTCTGAATTTCTCTGCCAACTTTGTTTCCTTCATTTCCAACAAGATCTTGCAGGTATCATGAATTGATTTGCCAATAAATTTATTCTTTGCACCCGGCACTTTTTCCTCCACTTCTCGTTGAAATCGTATGGTTTTTATGTAATCATCGCACATGCTGGAGTTCAGATCTCTTCTACCCTTCTTGTAGGCCTCCAGAGCCGATGATAGGAGGGCGTCTTTCATGTTATTTTTCTTGAACAAAAAAAGTATATCGAGAAGCACGAGAATCGGTAGCATCAGAGTCATGTAAGATTATTATTATTAGTCTCACTGAAAAAACTAGCGGACCTGACAACATCCCATCTTTCGTCTTGCGAGATTGTGCAGCTGCCTTCGTGAACCCGCTTCGTACGTTAGTCAATTTATGTCTCTCAACTAACACTTTTTCTACACTATGGAGAGAATCGAAAATTATACCGGTCTATAAGAAGGGGGCTAAATCAGACATTCGCAACTACCGCCCTATAGTAATTATTAATAATTTTTCAAAATCTTTTGAAATTCTACTCTACGATGAAATCTATTCGCACGTTAAAAATCAAATGACCCCTAGTCAACATGGTTTCTTCAGAGGAAGGTCAACTTTCACAAATTTAGTTTGCATCACAGAGAAGTTATCTGATACCATTGATGATAGCTCTCAATGTGATGTAATTTATACGGATTTTTCGAAGGCCTTCGATAGGCTGGACCATGGAATTCTACATCACAAACTTTCGAACTTTGGACTAACTTCAAATCTCACATCATTTTCCCAATCTTACCTTTCTGATAGAAAACAGTATGTAAGCTTCCATGGTCATAGGTCTATTGAAGTCCTTCCTACGTCAGGTGTACCCCAGGGGTCTAACCTCGGGCCCTTATTATTCATTACTCTAACCATCGATCAGCTATTATATGCCGATGATTTTAAGATATACCATGAAATTATCACCGTAGAGGATTGTACTGTTCTACATCAAAGAGATCAAAGATCAATATGTTGCCGGGGTAGCAACCAAGTGGGATTCCCTCCCCCCTCTCACAAGACTCCCATAGGGGATAGCTGCCGGTCACCTATCTTTCGAGTTATACCGACAGCACCCCAGGGAGAAATGGAGGATTTGGATTCGCCAAGTCAGAGCGCTAGAGCCATCTCCGTTATGTAACGGCATGTTCTCCTGCTACCATTTTATTATACCAATGGTGAAGCCGTCTGATAAGACAGACTACTGGCTCTGCAGTGTCAGTGCCCGAGCAGAGAACGCTGCTCACTCGCCGAGACAGGCAAGATATCCTCCCACTTGACCCATAGTGGGATTCCTCTTCATCTCCTGCTCTACCGTAGTCCGGTGGTGTTTTTTGGATACCGCTGCCCCCTGGAGTCCAACCCAATTGGTGAGGCACCAGGCTGTATGTACGGCCTGATGGGGCTATCCTCATCACCCCAGGTACCCATGTCAACAAGATTCCTCATGTTACGTTTGATGGGTCGCCGTCGCAAGAGGCTTTCGCCTAATTGCTACTTATGTTGACAAGAATCCTCTCGTCCCGTTGAATGAGTGATCGTTCGAGGACTTTTACACGTTCCTCTACCCCGTTAACAGGAGAGGACCCGGCTTCACCTATGATGTCTGGCGATAGGATCGCTTGGAGCTACCCCCTCCCTGACGAACTAAGGAAAAAGGTACACCAAAGTTCCAGTTTTTTGTTATCAAATCGCGAAATTAAGCGCAAATTACTGCACGAGAAAGTGACATTTTTCAACAATTTTGCTCAGGATAGTGATTAGCACAATTGGAGTTATATACAGGGTGTTCCTGAAAGACATGCTAATATTTTGAGGGGGCGATTCTTTGACTCATTTCAAGAAGAAAACTCCACATATGTCCTAAAAGTTTCAACTCTTGAGATACTGGGGGTCAGTTTTTCCATAATAACTGAGACCGTATTGTATATATCTTCATGAAATTTGGTTACGTCTTTCATGTATCAAGGTGCATTTTCTCTACCAGTGGCACCGTTACGGAAATAATGTTTATATTTTACTCAAAAGTGAGCAACGACGGCAAATTTTCAAATTACGTAAAATGCTATGAAAAGATCCTCTTGTTTATACTCGATAAAACGCTGTTTTAGAGAAAAAAAACGGATAAACGAAACCAGAGTTCAAATTTTGATGTCTGAGTACTCCATTCAGGACATCCATTACTGGATAGCCACAGTTTTGAAATTTTCACACTGATTCAGTCACATTTTGCCATCACGAGAAGATACAGGGTGGACAAGAAAGAATCTATGCATATTCTCAACATTGACACCCTGTATCTCAAAACTTAGGACGTTTACGAGATACGTTCATATGAAGTTTAATTCTTTAAATAGGTCGAATCATCGGCCCCTTGAATATTAGCATATCATTGAGGAACACCCTGTATAAATATATATATTACCTACGGCCACTATAGAGAGTATGCAAGAACACAAGAGAAGTGTAAGTCGCTCATTACGCACAGTAAGCACATCGCACAGTTTTCGTTCATTCCGCCATTCATGATCGCCTAATCGCCGTCAACAGCAGATGACATAACTGTCAATATCATAATTCAGACTGTTTGTCCAAACTTTTTTGATGTACTATATGGCAGTATCGGTAAAGTATAGTATGTAATGCGTGTTGTAAAGCAATTACGCACTCATGGAATTACGCACTCGCCGCTCTGCCTAAGGTGAGGTATATAAGATAGGTCCCAAAACTGAACCCTGTGGTACTCCTGATTTTGTTTTATCAGTTTAGTTCAGTATAGAAAATAACACCATAATTTTTCTAGTCAGAGTTGATCCTTACCTTATCATCCAAACTTTCCAAGAGGAAGGTTTCAGCTTGTGCACAAAAATCATCTTCTTGAATATAAATTTCGTTAAGGGCCTGAGTATTGTGTTCTTTGCAATATTTTATATAGAGAGACTGTGCGACTGGAAAATTCCTAATACTCATCTGGAATAGAAGTATTTCTCAAGATAAATGAATATTCCACTATTGAATAAATGCTAATTTAATTGATAACATTCAATATGCTTTGTATGAGACACCTAAGATGTTTTAATCCTAGGGACATTGATACTTTTTGCTTCAATTCCCCAAATTCAAAATCTCTGTGAACTATTTCACAGTTTGATCTTGTATTTTTGGATATCGTGGTTTATAACATACTTATATTGTTCTTCTTTGAACATTTTTCAAACAAAGTATACAGTTGAATCAAAATAACATGTATGGGATAACTAAAATCTTTAAATAATGGTGGTTTCAGACAAATATGCAGAAACACAGATGAATGTGTTCTCAGCTAGAGAAAAAAGTCCCAATATTTTGTTTCCATTATAATCTTGTGGAAGGAACATTTTCAATAATTTTTATCATTTTAGAATTATGAAATATTGTTTGTCACAATAATGATTGTCTTTGTGATATAATGTATCTTCAGAAAAAAAAATCACCTTGAAGTCTCCCAGTGGCATTTTTTCCCTCAACTTTAGGATGACTGTATAAACAAGATCTGTATCACCACTTTCAATTGCTTTCACTAATGCAGGCGTATTTTCTCCCAGTTCCAATAACAATTTCACCTGCTCACTAGCTTTTGACTCATAATCTAAAAGCTGAAAGGAAATTTAGATATACACAAAAAACATAGGATAAACACATTTTACCTTAATAGCCAGTCTTTTTCTACCATATTCTGAAGCAGTACTTGCTATTTCACTGTATGAAATTCCGGGGGTAACACCTAATTTTTCAGCTATTTCTCTAGCTACCAATTCTTCTTCTAAATTTGACTGACTCACCTTGAAAAATGTCATGTTTGAAAAGGCACTGCATTGTTGTATATTCATAATGCTACCTTATACTTTGCCCAATGCAGCAGAATGTAACTGTTGCCTTCTTTCTCAGGTAATTTTAGATATTTGGCAATCTGTAATGCCAGATAATACTCATTCCTTGCTATGAGTCGTTTTAGTAAATCTTGTGTTCTTCTTTTCATATAATTCAATCTAGTATTTTGTTATGGAACATATTCACTCATAAATAGTTGGTAGTAAAAATATACAAATGTAGTCATTATTTTCAGACTATAAGCTCAACTATAAGTATCTGAATTAGATGAGTATTTCTAATCCTACAGGTATTATTATTAACTGTCAGTAGAATGACAATTTTTATATTATTCAAGTATCAAGCAAGAATTTCTCGCCAATAAGTCATGAAAATAGTAGTGGTAATTAAAATCATAAGTCCAATAGAATTTTCTAATTGATGAATGGTTTTGACTGAAATCAAAAGTGTGGCAATACATGATTGGTTCAAAATCAAAGATTCCCTACTTTGAAATTTGAAATGCGAAAATTCCATGGAAAAATTGCATCTGGTCGACTGATACTTTCTCTTGATTCCCGGGCTGGTTTAAATGATTTTATTTCTTGGTAGAAATCACCCTGTCAGTTTTTCCAAATCATTATGAGATAATGAAATCAATAGTGTTTTCAGAAATTCTGGCTTTGGACATGTATATTAGCCTGGATCTAAATTAATTTCAGTTGCAGCAAAACATGTCTATATATATAGGCAAAACTAAGAGACCCTTGGGTCTAGGTTTGAGGAACATCTTGCACATTGAAAATGTGATTATGAGCAACCACAATCATGAAACAGGCATCTTGAAATTTGGCAAACAAGTTAGTGATATTGAAAATATAGACCTATATGGAAACCTACAAATAGTTAAGAATAACCATATAATGGAAAGAGAACTGATTCCATACAGCCCAAGTAGAATTCTAGGATAGGATAATGAGTTTTAATGCTGACTTATTATAGAATGGATATGTTATTAACGGTTATTAATGAAGTGACATGCTGCCAAATAAAGTTATTTGTGTAAATCCTGTGTGAATGTAGGATACTGGGTTATTGTCAGAGGAATACCAACTTTAGGACTTCTCACAGCATTCAAGACTCTTAACAATCTACACATATTCACATATGCATCAGGTCTCATATCAGAAACAAAACATTTACCAAATTGGGCAGCCTGAAAAATTAATTTTGATAGAAGATGAGCTCTTTATTCAATTGGACTCACTCTTATCAACATTTTTTGAACCTCAGTGTCAAATTCATAACCCACAGCTTCAATACATTGATTCACTGCTGTATGTAGATCAGTTTTCACCAAACAAATATACTCATTAGCTTTATGACTACTTTTCTAAAACAAAATATATCAAAGAAAATTGAATAATAATTAACCCTTTATAACAGTAACTAAACAGAAAATTACTTGAAATTGTTTTGAAGCTTCAAGGAGGAAGCTTCCAGGATCAGTGCTATTGATCCTGAAAATCTTTTGAACCACTTCAGGTACTTTCTGCAATAGCTCATGTTGGGTATTTGATACAATCCTCACTCCATCAATTTCTGGTACCAGATGAATAGAACTGTCATAAAAATATGTCATTTTTGTTCCATATTTCCCTACTATGAGAAGTGTGTTGTCTCTCTCAAAATAAATGACAACAGCTTCATTTCCACACCTTCAAATATATGGGATAAATGTGCTTTAGTTTTCATATTATAGTCCAATTAATGAAGGAGGAAAAAAAGGCAAAGTTAACGTTAATTACGCACTATTTTCATCTTCTGGTAGGAAGTAGCTTTTGGTACCTCATTAAACATGAGACCAAGTTTGACTGGAAAACCCGTGCGATGGCGGAGAAAATGGCCCCAAAAGACCAGGAAAATAGGTTTTCAGCCAATATCTCCTAAAATATGGCAGTTAGAGATTTTCGGTTCAGATAAAAAATTTAAGTTCAGTTAATTTTCTACAAAAATGGTCCCTATCATTTTTCTCGAAAATTTACCCGGTTTCGAGAAAAACGGCACGAAGCGCACCTCGAATAATGAGCTTCTGTGTTGTATGCCGGAGAGCACAGTCCGTGTATTTACACATCGGCGGGGGGACAAATTATTCAATAACTTTGTTATAAATGCATATTTTCTCATGATTCAAAGTTCATGTGAAAGAGGAATTCTGTTGCTATCATACCCTGCGTGGCCGCATGGTTTGTAGCAGACGACCCGAGCGCCACGTAGAGCACACACGCGGCGAACGACGGAGGAACGAAAGTAATGAATTATAGCGTGTACATTTAGATATACTGGTTCTTTCCCGGGATATCAAAGGTATGACTTATATACATCGATGGAAAGGTGGGAATTCCCCCGTTACACTAGTTAAGGTGTTAAAATGTTAGAAATAAAGATCACGGAGAAAAAAACCACCGAAAAAAAAGTGCGTTTTTTCCTTGACCCCGCTTTTTCTAATTTTATTGAAAAATGGACTACTTCATCTGAAAGAGTAATTGCACAATCGAAAAGTAGACCTTCTTAGCTTTCAAATGATGTATCATAGAAACCAATCGGATCATGTATAAATTTTTAATTGATGGTTGTTCACAAAATTTCCCCGCGCTCCAAAAACAGCAAAAAATTGGGATTCAATAAACAATGATTAAATGAAAATTAAAAAAAATTAGGGTATACAAAATTCAGGGATGACAAAGGACCTTATGAGAACCCATAATCAAGAAGATTTTGAGTAAATTAGTGCAATACAAAAAAATAGGAACAAATTCCTGGCGAGGTCAAAATTGACCGGGAGCAGAAAGTTTGACCCAAAATGGCCAAAAGAGTCAAGCGTGACTCAATTCACAGGGTATGATAGCAGCAGAATTCCTCTTTCACATGAACTTTGAATCATGAGAAAATATGCATTTTTAACTAAGTTATTGAATAATTTGTCCCCCCACCGATGTGTAAATACACGGACTGTGCTCTTCGGATTACAACACAGAAGCTCATTATTTGAGGTGCGCTTCGTGCCCCGTTTTTCTCGAAACCGGGCAAATTTTCGAGAAAAATGATAGGGACCATTTTTGTAGAAAATTAACTGAACTTCAATTTTTATCTGAACTGAAAATCTCTAACTGCCATATTTTAGGAGATATTGGCTGAAAACCTATTTTTCTGGTCTTTTGGGGCCATTTTCTCCGCCATGGCACGCGTTTTCCAGACTTTGTCTTCCAAACTTTGTCTCATGTTCAATGAGGTACCAAAAGCTACTTCCAACCGGAAGATGAAAATAGTGCATAATTTTATTAATGTTATCTTTTTTCCTTTATTTATTGGACTATTATAGAGGGGAATAGATTTACAAGGGTACCTTATTTCAATAAAAATACTTAACATTTATAAATGACTTATCAATTTTAGTAGAAATAAGTAGGCCAAATAAACCCACTTTTCAACTTCACTCACCAAAGGATGTGCTTAGGTTTGTGTATGATATCAGTGTCAATTTCACAATACTTGGTTCTCAAGTCAGTTGATCCCAACCACAAATGTCCAGAATCAGTGAACAAGGCTAAGTGACGTGCATTGAGAGACACAGCCATTTCTAAAATGGCTGTATATTTATTGCTGATATCAGGTTCAAGCTAGAAACACCACAATGGTATCAATTATTCCTATGCATGTTATTTCCACTGACCATAGCACTTGTGTGGTATTCATCTTGTTTCAATCTGAAAAGTTCTGCACCTCTGGCTATCAATACTTCTGTAGTGTCTTCAGAAACAACTGCCCAACAGGTAGGCTGTATACTTGATTCTATTCAACAAGCAGGATTAGTAATGAGGTTTATAAACATTGTGTAAGTTTTCTTACTTGGAAGTTCGGATAACTGCCTAGTTTTTGGCTCTTGAATGTTATTAACAACAAATATTTTGAAATTTGAAGTCATAACAGCTACTCCTGTGAAATTCTGAGGACTAGTAAACACTTTGGCATCTACTACTTTAGCATCTTGGACTTTCTGGCTTATGCTGAAGGTGTGGAGGTATTTTCCAAACATATTGTGCATCACCACCATTCCATCTTCTTGAACACATAGCAGTTCTTCATCATTAGTCCATCCCATGTGAACTATAGGTCTCCTGGTCCACTGATAGGTTTCAGAAATATAATATTAATATAATTCATGAAGATGTTGATTGATATTACCTTGAAAGAAGCTAATTGCTTCCCAGATCCAGAAAATATACTAATAATTGGTTGACCAGTCCCTTGAACTTTGATGAATTTGTGATCATCTCGTCGAATGGCTGTGGGGCCTCCATAGGAAGCTGATGAGGCAATGAAATTTTCCAAGTTCACCTCATTTTGCCATGACATAGAATATATTTCAAATTTCCTGAATAGAATAGAATTAATTAGCAAATTTTGCAAGAAATGTATTTTACTAACCTATAATATAAATCTCTTCCCAGCAGAAACCAGTCTGCTGTTAATATAGCAGCAGACATTATCAGAAATTGATGAAATATTTGTTGTCACCAAATATAAATAATGGTCATGAATTCATGAATGTTGAGGAAATGTTTTCAATTAATTTTTTAAATTTGTTATTGTTATTGATTAAGATTATCTACTTCTTCTTATTTTGTTTCATGTTTCTTGGCTTTCTGTTTCTGACCCCTTGCGGTGCCAGTGCCACTCTCATAGATGAAGTGTGCAGCGAGGCCGACGGGTCGGATTGGAAATATGGTCGGAATCTTAGTTCATACAGGAATGATGATGATGTATGATCTAAGGTCGGAATAGACACTTTGCAGGTAAAGATGAATTCTTGCTCTGTGGATCTCTGAGGTTGTAATCGTGGTTGTAATGAATTCCCATTCGTGCCGTTGATTGGTTGGATGGTTGGTTGGTTGTTGAATATTGATGTTGATTCTGTAGATTTGATTGTTATGTTTTATGCTGGTTTTTTTTGATGTTGATGTTGAAAATTTATTGTTTTTGTTTAGGTTGATGTCAAATCGAAAACCATTTTTTCAACATTATTGATGGAAAACCAGTTTTATAGACACAGGGTGTTATAGTTTGTAGTACTCCAAACTCCAAGTGACCAAGTGATTATGTCAATTTGAAATAAACACAAGCACGAACAGCTGTCACCGGAAAATGATAAATAAATATCAATAATCAAGGTGATGAAAATCCCTATCAACTTAACAATTTAAAAGGGCCTGAACACTCCTGAATAACCAGTTCATTAAAATATTTAGATGGAGAGCAAATTGAGGAAATGGAGAAAAAAACGTGACTTCTTGAAGCTACTGCAGTACAGAGAAAATAATGCTGAGGCCTCCAAATTTCTCAAACAACATTCACAGTTCACAGATACCCTAATCAAAAGGCTAGGCTTAGAATATGAGTTGGAGGGCCATCAAGGATGTGTGAATTGCTTGGAATGGACCTCAGATGGAAGGTAAGTAGATAGGTTACATGCAGTCTCTAGAAAAATGTTGTGATATTGTATGCACTACTAATAAAACTCCTATTACATCTTGGTATTTCTGACTTCCTGCCATCTATATGTGAATTACTTGGAATTTCTTCAGACTAATAATTGTACTCATAATTTTAATATTGAACAGGCCATGATTAGTAGTGAATGACTATGGATTTCATGACTTTAAAAGCTGATACCTCCAAAACAAAAACATATACTCAAAATTTGGAAATGGGAATTGAATATGATGTTGTTTCTTTCCAGAAAATGTTTTTTTCCTTGATTTTATTATTTCATATACAGGGTATGTGAATTTTTTTTTCAAATCATAATATTTTGACAGAGCTCTCTTTCCTGATATCAATCCACTATGTCAAAAATATATACTTTCAGTGACAGCTCCTGCCCTCAAAACCTGGGTGGGTCATGCATAACTGGTAGGGTTAAAAGGACTTTCAATTCCCCTGAAGAGTATGCAATACCAACAAAGTAACATTTCATTATAGTCTCACTGCCAGTTAGCCAAATGAATTATATGATTATGACCAGCTTTTGTTTGCACAAGGTTAACCATCAGTGGTCTAGGAATCTGCAATTGTTTAATAAAAACCATGTAAATAACTTATCATCATAGGATAAGACAGTCCGTGGGACTATTTTTATTTTTTCTGCTAAATCTGAAGCTTGAAAAAACTAATTCCAACCACTTCAACAGACCAAACGCAGAAATCACTACAATAACTAATCTGTCTACGCCGTTTCTGTAACAAGCCACCCCACCCTTTCCTGCTCGGCTGGCCGTACTGGCGTGTATGTCAAGTGTCTTTTTTTTTTTTCAATGGCTTGGAGCGCACGAAAGGGAATCTCTATACTGTTCCTTGAGATGCTAGCTGTTTCTTTCTGGCGGTGGAGGCATACTTTTTATTTATAACCACAACATGCAGCTTTGAAAATGAAGAATATTCCAAAAGTTACATACATTTTCATCATCACAGCTTTTTTACAATGTTTTAATACATGGCTCTTGGACTGCTGAATTTGTTTTGCCATATTAGACACAGTACTACCTCTTAAAATGCCCCCCCCCCCTCCTTAACTCTCATGTTTTCAGAGATGTGAAAAAGAGTTGAATTAAAAAGTTGTTTGATAGGATCCAAACTTTTATTTCCTGAAGTTGCTTCATACACAGGGTCATTAGTTTTTCCAGAAAGGACATTAACTTTGATTTTTCCAATGGAACACCCTATATATTTTCTGACATGTCGATAGAGCCTTTTTTATAATTTCAAAATTATATGAGTTGCATATTTGGATGAAAAATAATGAGTTACCTCGTGAGTTACCTATTGATTATTGAAGTTTACCAAAATACAGTATCTTCCATTAAAACTGTCTATTCATATTTTTTGTATGGAGATTGAACGATTTCAATTTCATAATAAACAATACTATGACATTTCCATGGAGCTTGAACAATATACAGGCTGATCCACGGTGGATGGCCTATTAGAAGTATGTGGAGAACGAAAAGACAGAACATTCTGAAAATTGGGATGCTTGGATAATTGAACATTCTATATCCGTCTAAAATATTTTCATCGATACAGTGTTGCCACTTCTATCAGAAACAACTAGTAACTTCGTTATTTTAAATAGAACACCCTGTATTTTATTGCATTTTTAGATTCTCCCTGAAAAGCTGATTTCATTGATGGATCACACTTGTGGTCTATCGGAAATGATTACAGAGATATAGGTTGTTCAAAATCGAGATTTTTCAATTTTAGGATTTTTTTGTGTCGAAACTATTCATTATCGATCAAAACGGCTTACATGTCCCTATCTTAACTTTCGGCTCACTATCTACTGACATTTAATTGGAACAGATACAGGGTGATCAGAATTCTGAATCTTGGAGCACCCTGTATTTTTTCCAATCAAATTCCAGTAGATAGTCAATCAAAAGTTGAGATAGGGACATGTAAGCCGTTTTGATCGATAATGAATTGTTTCGACAAAAAAAAATCTTAAAATTGAAAAATCTCGATTTTGAACACCCTATATCTCTGTAATCATTCCTGCTAGACCCCAAGTGTGATGCATTGATGAAATCAGCTCTTTAAAAAGAATCTAAAATAAAAATGCAATAAAATACAAGGTGTTCCATTTGAAATAACAAAGTTGCTAGTTTTTTCTGATAGAAGTGGCAACACTGTATCGATGAAAATATTTTAGACGGCTAGAGAATGTTCAATTATCGAAGAAACCCAATTTTCAGAATGTTCTGTCTTTTCGTTCTCCAGATACTTCTAATAGGCCATCCACCGTGGATCACCCTGTATAAACATTATTTCAACTTACATTAGATGATATTATGAAGTGAAGTTTCATGTGGTATTCTGGTAAATTTTGATCATCAATAACTCAACTATTTTTCATCCAAATATGCAACTCATATACAGGGTGTTCCTAAACATCATGTACATCCGAAAGGGGGTAATTCCTCAGCTCATTTTAAGACTAAAAGTTCATATAAACATTGGTCCGCAAACGCTTTGTTACCGATCTACGGGGTGTTGAAATTTCAAGATTTTTTTTGTTTTTTCTTTATAGATCCTGCAGTTTTTGAGATATGTGGCTCAAATTTGAAACATAGATTATGTTATAGGGCTTACATCGATGGACATCTCAAATGTTTGTGAGAATCTATAAAAAAATTGAAATTTCAACACCCCGTAGAGTTTATATGAACTTTTAGTCTTAAAATGGTCTGAGGAATTACCTCCTTTCGGATGTACATGATGTTTAGGAACACCCTGTATATTTTGGAAATCAGAAAAGAAGGCTCTATGGACATGTCGTGAATTGTATAGGGTGTTTCATTGAAAAAATCAAAGTTGATGTCCTGTGATTTTCAGTGTATATTCGGATGGGTTACCTAAAGGTTTCAGTGCATGAAATTTGAATAATAGTGCCATAACATTAGCATATTAAACGATGAACATTGAAAAAAGTTTCGAACAATAATTTTATTATTCAAATACATAGTTCAGCTTTTCCTCCCAAATTATCTGGTACACCCTGCCGTCTCTGACAACCCCTATAGTTTCCATATAAATTCTATCTAGAGTTGAAGAAATATTAGGAAACATAATTTCAATATAAAATTTGGAGAAAGATATGTAAAAATTGATTATTTAATAATTAAAGATGTTGAATGTTGAAATTATACCTACATTTGAATCCCGTTTTCCTATATTATTCCTTCTCCTAAAAGGAAATAAAATGAATACACATATCCAAAATTACATTCACTCACAATCATCCTATAACAATATCAAGAATAATTCTGGAAGATCTTTAACTGCTTCAAAATGTTTAAGTTAATTACTTCAACTCTGTCTTTCAATGTTCCCCACAGAAAGAAGTCAACCAACCTAACCTTTTTCATATCAATATAATGTATGAAAAAAAAGAAATCTATTACTATTAACATTATTAAATCATTTATAACATAAGGAGTATTGACTCATGAACAAGAATTTTTATTATGTTTTCAGGCACTTGGCTTCAGGATCTGATGATACAAATATCATACTATGGGATCCATTCAGACACAAAAAATTGCAAGTTATTCCTACACATCATATTGGGAACATTTTTTCAGTCAAGGTACACCTGAAATGAAATCTACTCAACTTGAAAAATATTGATAACACTTTATACTCAAAATAAAGATGATGCTTCTTGTCAGTTCATAGGTCATTCTCAAAATGAAATTGCCACTGCTTCAGGAGATTGCAGAGTACTAGTGCAATCAATTTCATCTGCTGTTGCAAAAGCACCACCCATACTTGATTGCAGTTGTCATGTGAATCGTGTTAAAAGATTAGCAACATCTCCTTTAGAACCCACTCTATTCTGGTCTGCTGCAGAAGATGGTCTTGTTATGTATGTATCATGAACATATTCGCGATAGAAAATAAGTGTACGCCACCTATCAGAGTTCTTGAATGCTGTCAAAGCGGCATGTTTATTTTGTTTTTATTGGTTCACTTTCGTTTTTTGTTTGTGCTTATTGGTCATATCATCAAAACAAACCGCTCAGAAGTGTTCAAGTTGCTGCCGTCAAGTGGGGCGAGGTTATTTTTTTCTATTGGGAATTGTGTCTTATCTAATGTATAAAAATTCTTCTGTCTCCTGCCACGTTGTTAGGGGCCAAACTTCTACGAAACGGATCGACCGATTCTTATGAAAATTTTTGAGCGCATTCGGTAGGTATGAGCTGTTTTTTTGAATTGAAAATTCAAGATGGCGGATTTAATTTAATACTCAATGTTTTCAAATATTATATTATTTATGAGTTTATTTTAATTGTATAGTTTTAGGTATTATTGTTAACTATGCTTCCTTATACCAGAACTTGATTCTGACTGGAAGTCACATTTTCAATAAATGAATATGGCGGACGAGTTTTGTATTCCGGTTTTATTCTAAATTGGTATCTGGAGGTTTTCGGGGTCGGAGATTATGATTCCTTCGTCAAAATTAGGAAATTCAAAATGGCGGACCCAATATCGCGGAAATTTTTTTCAATTATGATCGGATTCTATTCAAAATTGATATCTGGGGGTTTTGGGGTCGGAGATTATGATTCTTTCATCAAAATTTTAAAATTCAAGATGGCGGAACCAATATGGCGGATGAGTTTTGTATTTATTATAAAGCAATAGGTTTCAAAATTGTTATCTAGGGGTTTTCGAGGTCGGTGAAGATGATTCTTTGTCAAAATTTGTAAATTCGAGATGGCGGATCCAATATTGCGGACGAGTTTTCGTAATTATGATCCAATTCTTTTCAAAATTGGTATCCGGGTGTTTTCGGAGTCGGAGATTATGATTCTTTCGTAAAAATTTGGAAATTTAAGATGGCAGATCCAATATGGCGGACGAGTTTTGTAATAATTATGATCCGATTCTATTCGAAATTGGTATCTGGGGGTATTCGGGGTCGGAGATTATGATTCCTTCGTCAAAATTAGGAAATTCAAAATGACGGACCCAATATCGCGGACGAGTTTCGTAATTATGATCCAATTCTATTCAAAATTGGTATCCGGGTGCTTTCGGAGTCGAAGATTATGATTCTTCGTCAAAATCAGGAAATTAAAGATGGCGGATCCAACATGGCGGACGAGTTATGTAATTATGATCCAATTTTATTCAACATTTGTATCTGGAGGTTTTCGGGGTTAGAGCTCATGATTTTTTTCTCAAAATGGGGAAATTCAAAATGGTGGATCCAATATGGCGAACGAGCTTTGTAATAAATAGTAGTTTAAAAATCTATAACAAAACATGCTTTTATAGAGAGCCAAACTTGAGGCCAAACTGAAAAGAAGTAGGAAATTGATAGTTCAGTTTAATAACGAGATAGATGGTTGAACTGAAAAAGTGTAGAAAATAAATAGTAGTTTGAAAAACTAATGAAACACGGTTTTATGAATAGCCAAAATGAACAAAAGTAGTGAACAAAATAATAAAAGTGTTGATGAATATTTAACTAAAAACATATTTTCTAGAAATGAATTTATAAAGCAAAACAACGTTTGCCGGGTCACCTATTACAATAAATAGTAGTTCGAAAAACTAAAGAAACACGCTTTTATGGATAGCCAAACTAAAAGGAAGTAGAAAATGAAATAATGGAAGTGTGTTGAGGAATATTTAACTAGAAAAATATTTTCTAAAAATAATGTTTATGGCAAAACAACGTTTGCCGGGTCAGCTAGTATCTTAAATAAAATATGAATTCTTTTATCATTTATTGTCTTCAATTAGTCAATGAATTATAAACATCCTATTCAATTACCTATCTGTTTTTATTCCAGGCAATTTGATTTGAGAGAACCTCATGAATGTTCCCTGACTAATAAAAAAGTGTTGATAGACTTGAGTCACAATTTTGGCGAAGTCAAATGTATCACTGTGAACCCTACCAAGCCATATTACTTAGCAGTAGGGGCCAATGATTGCTATATTAGATTGTATGACCGTAGGATGCTGAAAACTTGTACTATTGGTGCTGGACACAGAGCAGAGGTGAGTCAATTCAGAACCAAAACTCATTATTTTGAGCAATACTTTCATTATATTCTCTCAAGATGTGTGAAAATTAACAATCGCTATCGGCCTTCACAGCAGCATTCTTTCCAAGAAACACTTGAGGAGGAATAAATAAAAGTGGAAGTTGTGGCCAGATTTGAACCTAGTACCATTACCTGTTTCTATCCCATCAACACAACCATACTCCAATACATCAGTATGTAGTGGTTTGGTTTGAATAACCCGCCATAAGGTGTGGAAAGTTAGTCCGGTTCGCGCCCTCGAAACATCGGGAATATTGTCAAGTCACCAATTATAATCAAGTTTTTCGTGAGTTCTACTTATATTTCCTATTAACTCAGACTTTCGAGTGAAATCGGCACCCCGCAATTCCAGACTATCTATCAGACTATCATTAGGCAACTTTTTCGGACGAAATTGTGGTGAAAGTACCAGGCGCCGATAAGGGGAAGAAAAAGGGTCGAGTACCAGACGTCAGACGCAACAAGGGAGAACAGATTGACGAGTCCATTTATATACTGATTACAGTGTGCTATAATCAATAAAGACTTATTGAGCTTTCGGTAGCTATTTCATTCAAGTAAGCTTTCAGTAGCTGAATGATACAAATCAAGCTTTTAGTAGCTATTCAATTGAGTAAGCTTTGATTAGCTAATACAAAAAAAATTACAGTCCACTACTAAAAACAAAGTTATTGAAAAGTTGTTAGATCCCTCTCATCGAATGAAACCATATCCAAATCAAATATTCCATTTGAGCTAACAGGAGGAAGCCATGATGTTATAGTTATCAATTTGTGACTATTTTGAGCAACCAGTTTGTTAAAATACTCCTCATACTCGATAACAAAACATTATGTAAATGTTGGCTAGGATAGAGACTTGGCAATGTTGTACTAAACGCTGAGATGTGACAAGACAACGCCCGCAATCCTGTGGTGTCACGTTTACCGTGCCAAATCTGCTCTAGTGTGAATTAATATGATTATTATTAACACAAATTCAGCTAATTAAGAATTTTACCAATACATAATTGAGAATGTATGAATTATTAAATGAATAATACTTCTGAATTTACCATTCGTATTTCAACATATGACAACTGTGATATGGTCTGCCCCTACTTACGAAATCGTAACGTCAGATTTTATATGCGGTACATTTTTAGCCGTTCGAAAAGTACCGGGGCAATATTCATGATTTTAGCACTTTTACCACTAACCAAACTGAATTTTTAACTCTCAATTTCAATATTCTGAAATTGACACCGCAAAACATGTACATATTAAAATAGAAAGATGAAACATATAAATACACTTCTCAACTCAAAATTTTATGGAAACTAAAAAGGTCTAAATAAGGTACCTATATTATTCCAAGTAACTGCTTGGACTTGCATTTTTTTCCTTTGATTTGTTGTCGTTTTCATAGGGCACATTTATAATTACATTTTCTTAATTATAGTTACTGAAAATACATTTCACAGATTGGACTGATGAATCAAGTTTCAATAGAAGTATTTCATTAAAAAAAAAAGTATAACATCCCTCTTCTCTGTTAAGTTTTCAGGTCCTACATTTTCATTAGGTTCCTTTCTGAAAAAAAGTTAGTACCTATACTAGAAAAGTAAGAGTGTTTTATACTTCAAATTTTGCTCAAAAAAACATTACTGATGGGGGTCATATGTTACAACAGTACTTGTGTTAAGTTTATTGTAGTATGAAGGGATATTCATAAAAAAATTTAACACCACACAGGCCAAGAGAGACTGAAATTCTGATTTTGTTCATATTATTATTCAACCATTCATTCAACTCACTGTAGGACACCTCAACCTGTAACTACCTACTTCACAAAATGGAAAGTTGTTGTACTTCCGTACCTACTTACTTTCCACTCTAACTTACCTTTGGAGCTGCATACAAATCTGTAAGAGTCATTTTCTTTGCTGCAAATTACACACTTACGAGTTTTTCGTTTTTCCACTACTAGAAAATCTTTAAACAACACAAGAACACAAAAAAAAACTACGAACGAACGAAACATCGAAATTAAACACACTGGAAACTGGGATTTCAATAACACAAGAAAAACAATGGAAATCTGGAACAAATGGAATTTTGAATTTATATACACTCTGAGTGACACTGACAATAATTGTCAAAAAATAAGGTTGATATTACAGAAATCTGTGGGAAATTTGCCATCTTGCGAAGAAGTGAGAACTATTATGCCATTATTGATGAACAATGCGGTGTTAGCGTTTTGGTCGAAACAAAACACAATCGGTGATTTCACCATCTTCTCTCCATCCTTCTCTGAATGTAACTCGATTATTCGCGAAAATCACGAACCAATAGATGGCCTTATTTAACGTCAAATCAACGTCAAATTTCCAACTGAGTATGAACATCAAATACATTGCCGTATGCACTAATTGCAAATTGGTTATTTCCAAATCATTTTGCAAAATAGTGAATAATGAGTTGACTTCTTGAAATACGTACAAGGTTTCCAGTATGGAAAAAGTTACTTTTTGTGCAGAGAAATTGCCATTTTGATGTGGACAATGGTGGTATTCATCATTGATATCACACTAGAATCCCACAGTTTTCAAACATAAGGAATGATCGGAATGGTCCACTCAACACTTGCATGGACTGGAATGGAACCATACAAGCAATCAGCTATTACAACAATATGGGATGGGTATGAAGAAATAATTGAATTCATCAAGAAATATCACTGGCTCTTATGAAGGAGATGGAATTCTAGTGAAGGGGTTGGAAAAGAAGATATGGTTGGAGAGGCTGCTCAGAATGAACAATATCATCGATTTACATAAACAAGGATCTCCAGCAATTGAGGACTTCAAGTTATTCTGAAGATCGAATCATTGCAACCAACATTTATACAATGATTCTAATTCAAATGTATATTATATTATTATAAGGTAGGTACTGGTTTCTTCATTGTAAACAATAAAAGTTCATGCAATAATTCGAGTTTTTTCATCAGGGAGAAATGAGGTTCTGGAATATGCACTGCAACAAATGAATTATTTTATTTATGAAATTCAAAACAATGGTCGCCATATTTGTTGTTCATACTCGCAAGACTTGTACAGTTAGCCACCAGAGGCCGCACACTTCGTGATTTTCGCGAATTAGCGATTTTACACCGTCTCGGACATTGCAGTTCACTCGGCTGAGCAATGTCTTCGACTATTATGAATCGCATAAAAATCTCGTTATAATAATAGCCATAAAATCGACCAGAAAAATGTAAAAATTATTGGAATTGGGCGGTAATTGCGTAATGATTCCATTTGAGAAAAAAAATTGTCCGCTCGCCTATTCCAGAGGACGCACCTGTTCCTTCCCCGTTTCCAGCCGCCGACGAAAGAGCAAACACCCGAAGACAAAGACCTCATCGACCCGAACTGCTGCCAGTACTACGCGCCCGGCCACCTGGCGGTCGAGAACGCCACCACGACCAGCTTCAAGCTGGCCGCCACGAACGTCGCCTTCGACGCCACCGGCGCCGAGATGCTGGTCAACATGGGTGGCGAGCAGATTTACCTGTTCGACGTAAACAAGTCGCGGCAGGTGGACGAGATCCGGGTGCCGAGGGTCAGTAAGAGGAAGAAGGGTCTGGCTACGTGCAACAAGTGTAGCAGCGGGGTAGGTGGACTGGTCTAAGTGTTTTTCTACAAAAACTTTATTCAACTGCAGGGGTGCTCATACTTTTAGGGACTGAAATCTTCCACTCAGAGTAACTACACCTTTTCCAGTTGTATTTCAGAAAGCGTCAATTGTATTTCAGACAGGGTTGGCAAATATCATGATATTTATATATATATCAAAATATCAAAATATCATAATATCGGATATATATCCGATATACAGGGTGTTTCCTAACTACGTTCCTAACTGCAGGGGGTGAATTGTTAGGTCATTTTAAGAAGAAAAGTTTCTATGAACATATGTCCGGAGTTGCTTCGTTTCTGAGATACAGGACGTTGAAATTAAAGAAAACAAACGATAATTATGAAATATCATGAATATCCTGGAACCGATATGGTTGAAATTTGGTACTTTTATTTATCAAATTTTCTAAAATTTCAGCATATCAAGTGTCAATTAAATTTTTGGCGGAGATAATGAAAAACTCATTTCTCCAATGCAAGTGTTCATGATATGCAATACTATGGCTTTCATTTTTTTTCTCGAAAACGAAGCTGGATATGAAGGAAATGCAAGAGACCAAAAAGTTGTATTTTGAGTTGCTCAATGTAAACAAAATAAAAATTCACCAAAAAAAGACAGTGGCGTACTTTTTTTTCACAATATTGATGGCTGTGGTGCCCATTGAGACGCCACTGGCCCCAATAATTTCAATATAAATAGGGCTTAATAAGCGCCTTATTAGTTCAAATGAAAGTACCAAATTTCAACCAAATCGGTTTTAGGATATACATGATATTTTATAATTACCGTTTTTTTTCTTTAATTTCAACGCCCTGTATCTCAGAAACGAAGCAACTCCGGATATATGTTTATGAGAACTTTTCTTCCTAAAATGACCTAACGAATCACCACCTGCAGTAAGGAACCGTAGTTAGGAAACACCCTGTATATCAGAAATTTCGATTTTGTTCCTAGGCTGATATGCCATATGCCAAAAAAAAAACACAATATAAAATACCTTTATTTTGGTAAAAACAAAAATCAAACTTCAGTTTAATTCTCGGTTTAATTTGAATTAACAAAACACGAAACAAAAAATGATATTTTTCCGAAAATATGTAATATATGGTAATATTAAAAACTTGTCGTTTGATAAATTTTTAAGGATTGCAAAACCGAGAAAGAGGAATATAATCATCATTATCAATAGTATCATCTTCACTCAAGGCAACTAATTCATCATTCGAGGAGATCCAGTCCAAGCTTTTGGCTTTTTTATCTGTATTTGGGTTTAAACATTTAAAAATAAATACTAGCTTACTGGCTTTTTCGTTGCCTAGACGATTTCTCAATTTAGATTGAACTATTCCAAAACTCGAAAAAATTCTTTCTAAACCAGCTGTTGCCGCTACTGCACTGAATAACTGCTCACATAGTTGTAAGAAGAGTTCTTTTTTTGGCCATTCCGACCGAGTCAGGAATTGCAACCGATTTCCACCAAATCATTGTATGCGTGAGGCCTGTTCGTTTGTATTGCTAAACTTGCTAAAGTTGATTCTTTTTCCATAGTTGTCTCTGTTCATGGCATGATGTAAACAAAGTAAGTCATAGAAACAAATCGAGTTCAGCAGGTAGAGCAAGGACAAACGAACATGCCTGATGTACCATGTACCTAACAAGCAGTAAACAAAAACCGGGGATTCCCCGAGTTGTAAGTTATAACCACGAAACGCATTGTTGTCACGTATTCATTTTTAACGCAAAATATCAAGGACTTTTTGCTCCGGTATTTATTTTGTTAAAAAGAAGTAAATGATATATATCATGATATATATTAATCAATAAATATCAGATATATATCATGATACATATCATGATATATATCACTTAATATATATCGGCCAACCCTGATTTCAGAGTAGTCATACTTGTATGGAGATGCTCAAGATCCAACTAACTATAGACCAATAGCTTTAATGAGCATATTTTCAAAAATTTTTGATAACATTCTCAAGAAACGCATTGTAGAATTCATCAGCAAAAAATATAGCTTCGATTCTAATCAATTTGGTTTTCAAGAAAACAGTGGAACACAAGCAGCAGTATTACAAGTGATAGAATCAATCCAGAGAGGACTTGATTCAGGAAATTATGTGGTAGCTGTTTTCATTTATCTCAAAAAGGCTTTTGACACAGTTGATCATACAACACTTCTAGAAAACTTAGAAACAATGGGACTCAGGGGCACCGTGGGAAATATTTTCGATTCATATCTTGAAAATAGGACAATCAATACAAAATCAACCAACTCTGTGTCAAATAAACTACACTCAGTTCCAAAAAAAGTGACGCACTTGATATTTGACCTATCTTCTTAAAAAAAAACAAAAAATAGTAGGCCGATTTTCATTTTTTTTCATTTGTTGGTAGGTAATGTATTTGTCTTTAAAAAAAATAAAGAGGTGAACATTTTTTCAGAGCCTCCTTGATGTTGGTGGAATAACTCGAACCATGATTTATTCTTAATTTTTGACTCACCCTGTGTGTTAATTGAGTAATGGCATAGAAAGTGCTTGCACCCTATACAAAGGAGACTTCTTTTGCGAGCATTCTGTTTTTTATTCATTGATTTATCTCTAAAATTTTCCGAATCACAGCTTTTTTTGCTGAATCCTTGCAGATTACCAACTTTCTGAATTTATCGAGAAACAATTTTTTAATGAAATAAACTGAAAATTTTTTTTATTAAACACAAAATTATAAATTGGGATGACTGCTTAATACCGTGTATTGCCTCCTCTAGCAACTCTAAGAACTTCTAATCTACGAGGCATACTGGAAATTAAGTTGCTTATCGTTTCCATTGGTATACGATCCCATTTTTCCACTAATGCATCTGCCATTTCTGCGAGACTTTCCGGAGACCTCTCGCGAGAACGTACCCTTCTCTCTAATTCATCCCACAAATGTTCTATAGGATTCATATCGGGGCTTCTCGCAGGCCATTGTAATGTGGTAATACCAGTAGCTTCTAAGAAGTTTCGCACTATTGCTGCGATGTGTGGTCGGGCATTAACATGAAGGGGTGTCTTTCCATTCATTGAAATCCCTCCCCACACCATAACGGACCCACCGTTGAAACTTTCGCATTCTGTTATCAAATTTTGATTAAACCGTTCCCCAGTTCTTCTCCACATTCTTTTTCTTCCACCCACCATGTTAAGGCAAAATCTTGACTCATCCGTGAACAAGACATTCGACCATTCAGGAATATCCATAATTTTCAACAAAATTTCTTCTAGCAGCACGATGTTCGGGCAATGATTTGGGACCTTTTGCAGGTCTCCTAGCTTTTAAATTAACTTCTTTTAGACGTCTACATACCGTCTGCTTACTTACTGCAACATAACGAATTTGGCGAAGATGTTGCTGAACATTTACCGCAGTATTTGATCGATTCCGTAATATCCGCAATCTCAAGAAGCGATCATCTCTTGGAGAAGTTTTTCGGGGGCGACCAGAACCGACCCTCCGATCGGTGCTTCCTGTTTGTTCGTACTTGCGGATTGGTCTACGAGCAGTTGCTTCATGAACTCCCACTGCACGAGCGGCATAACGTTTACTACGCCCATCGTTCACTAACGCAACTAATCTTGCTACTTGTTCAGGATTTATTTGAGGCATTTTATGTAATTTTAGTCAATATAACAAGACACTTAATTAATGACACAACGACAAATGGTCAAGTATGGAGGCATACAAAAAATTAGTTGCTATGGCGACGGCATTTGTTTTTTTAAAGACAATGTGATCCTACCAGAGTACAACCCAATCAATTTTGAGTACTCTGATCCTTCAATAAATTTAATTTGTGGGATAAGCGTAATAAGCAAAAAAGCTGTAATTCGGAAAACTTTAGAGATAAATCAATGAATAAAAAACAAAATGCTCGCAAAAGAAGCCTCTTTCGTATAGGGTGTAAGCACTTTGTATACCATTACTCAATTAACACACAGGGTGAGTCAAAAATTAAGAATAAATCATGGTTCCCGTTATTCCACCACCATCAAGGAGGATTTGAAAAAAAATTCACCTCTTTATTATTTTTTAAAGACAAATGCACTACCTACCAACAAATAAAAAAAAATCGGCCTACTATTTTTTTTTCAAGATTATCAAATATCAAGTGCATCACTGTCTTTGGAACTGAGTGTATTAATTAATAAGGGTGTCCCAAAATATCAGTGAAATTGGTCTTCTCATTCAAGTCCCGTTTTCCTAATTTCGAATAACCTGTTTTTGTTTTTGAGGTATCAGCTTTCAAAATTCTGAATTCCATAGTCCACCTTTCTTACCACATATTCAATCTATATTTTTTATTTCAGGAAACAAATGGTCATGATAATATCAATCATAACGAATTGTGTGAAGAAAATTGTTCATGTTTCTATATACAGAGAGCTCAAGAATGTTGCAATAGAAAATGGTAAGTACCTATCTACCTATATTACCTACATTTTCATATTTTCAAAACTAAGCTGAAATATCGAATTGCCACATTTCCAGGAGTTTTCATGCCTAACCAACCTCGAATTGAAACTACTACTTTTTTCGCTTAAATAATAAATAATTATTTTTTTTGAAACAGGAAAAACGAGGATTCAATATTGATAAGATGTTCAATATATTATTTAAATCAGAAAATTATCAATGTGAAATTTAATGTGATGAATCATTTCATTTGCTTTTTTTTTCGAAATCGGATAGTGAATAGCTTCGCTATGGCTTGTCAGTTAGCCTGTATAGTGACAATTTGACCTGCGTTACCGGCATCTTTGTGTCTATGCAAACGCAAACCTTTTGAAGTAATCAAAGATCTGTCAATTTAACTGTGATTTCATTTTTAAAAATTGCGAACTTAGTGGTTGTTTTGTAATTTACGAAACCGCAAAGTGGAATGGAAGATAAAAATGGCAGTTCTTTCTCGAAGACGGTGTTATAGGCTCACTTTCCAGAACTGGCCCAACAACAAAAGTCATCAACAGTGTATACACAGGGTTTTTTAGATGATCATAGCATCGTAGTGGCCGTTGAAATGGGTGCCGACCTTTGCTGACGTTGAAGCGATCGAATGTTTCATATTTTGATCTCCATTGTATTGTATTGTATTTTATTAAATCCTTCTTACTATCAATACAATGGAATGGACGAGTCAACACAGGTAATGAAAAATACTAGAATACTAAATTATAAATGATACAAAGCTATAAATAATACAATAGACGAGTCAGAACAGGTAATAAGAAACAATTATACAAGTATAAGTAAATAGCTGAAGTATTAGGACTAGCTTTCACATTATCTGGAAGCCTATTAGTGTATGAAGCTTCAACCCCAAGAGGAGATTTCTTTATAAAAAGAGTGTTTTGATTTTACGGCTGCCAAATCATTTTTATGCCTGGTTTTAGGACTGTGGACATCACAATTCCTTGTCAGTTTATTTCGTAACCGGTAAATACGGCACAATAATTTGAGCAAATAAATGGATGTGACTGTGAGAATTTCGAATTGGAAGGTTGATTATAAAACGAATTATTCTCTTTTGTAAAACAAAAACTCTTCGGATGTCACGCCTTGTACCCAAACGATAATACTATATTTTTTCTGGTGTTGAGTTGGCGGGAATTCGGTCGAAATGTTGAAGAAAACCAATTTTTAAATTGTCGACGTTTCGAAACTTTATTGTTTCATCTTCAGGACACTGAAGTAAAAACAAGAACATACATATTAAAATGATATTTTAAAATGAGGGGTTTTGATAAAAGCAAAATAAGTTATGTAAAATAACAATCTTTGAAAATAAAACACTTATCACACTTTACAGAAAATAACATTGATAGATACTTACATTTAGGGGCTTTCCGGGTTTAAAACACAGCAGAGATTGTAAAAATATACACAATCTGCTGAAAACAATGAATGAGTTCCGAGAAATTTCGCTGTTTCAGATTTTGCAACTATAGTATTATTTAGTGAAATTGAACAATTTGATGGTGTTCTTTGGTTTGTATGATATTCAATGCACACTGTTTTCCCAATATTCATCATCAGTTTATTACGATAGCACCAACCCTCAAATTGAATGAGTGTTTTGGATACCTTTTCAGAAAGTGCAGTTGCCGAGTTGTCCGATATTATTGTGCAGGTATCGCCTGCGTAGATGAGAACCTTAGCTTCAGTTAAATGCTTAGGAAGATCGTTGATGAACATTAAGAAGAATAATGGACCAAGAACACTCCCTCGAGGAGTTTCAAGATCAATGTCAAACTCGTTTGATAAAACATCATCAATTTTGAATATCATCCTTCGGTGTTCAAGGAAAGAGTGGAACCAATCGTTAAGACAACCACGAATTCCAAGATTATCTAAACTTTCTGACACAAACGTCTTGTCGACTGAGTCAAATGCTTTTGTTAAGTTGAATAGTAGGGACACCACATATTCACCACGATCCATTTTTTCATAGCGATATGCTGGGCGTACTCTGCTATGCTAGTTTCTGTGGAGAATCCACTTCTGAAACCATGTTGATTATTTGTGATTATATTGAATGAACACAGGTATGCTTCAATCCTTTATCAACTTTTTCTATTATTTTTGAAAACATGCTCAATAAAGAAATCGGTCGATAGTTTTCGATATCACTGGGATCAACTTTTTTGTAAAGTAAAATAACTAATGATAATTTGACGCACAAAGGTAATTTTCCCTGAGTGATGGACAAGTTAATAATGTGGGCCAGTAGGGCCAGTATCATAGAGATACTATGTCAACATTGCTTGATTACTGATGTCGGAATTTCGTCCAGACCGGTGGATTTTTTATTTGGTAAATGAAAGCGGCAAATCAATAAAATATTTCAACGATCACTATGATGCTGCGATCATTCATAGAAACCCGTATATCGGGGAATAAATTGAAAACCACCAACAGTGTATACACAGGTTTTCTGTAAATTATCGTAGCATCGTAGTAGCCGTTGAAATGGTGCCGCTATCTGCTGACGTTGAAGCGATTGAATGTGTTATAGTTTGATCTCCATACGTGGAAAGCGGCAAATCATTTTAACGGTCGCTATGATGCTATAGAGACCCGTATATCCGGAAAAAAAAATTGGTGATTTTTTCCTTGGGAAAAAGTAATTTATGAAAAGTCACATTTTGTAACCTGTCAACAGAAATAATGGAACTTTTCCCGTCACCGAAAAAATTTTTTCTGGGCTCTTTCATAACATAATAACAATTTCTAGGATGGGAGATGTGTACAATGCAACACGAGACTATTTGCATGTGATACAAAACTGGCCTGACAATATTCAAGCTTATATTGGGCTAATTGAGAGTTTGATTGACCTAAACTGGACTGAAGAAGCTTCCAAATGGCTGGATTACTTTTGTAATCTCCAGATCAACAACAATAATCATTGCAAGGCAAATATAAAAAAATATATTGTCTGAAAAGAACACTGTATTGAGGACCTTTTTACACATATTACTTTTTAGATTGATTTATTGCGTAGAAGAATAGAAAGAATACAAATCAATATTGATAGAGACAAAAATAATGCTGAGAATGGTGATGAAAAAGAGAGATTCCTCAGGAAAATTGATGAAACTGAAAAGAGGAGAAGACTGGAATCAAAGGATTTTGAAAGCAGATTTTTGGGACATTGCAACACTACCACTGACATCAAAGAAGCTAATTTCTTAGGTTTGTTGAACATCATAAATCCTTTTTTACTAATATTTATCGGTTACCATCACATCATCCAACAAAAATAAAATATGCTATTGGCAGATGATATGATTATGAGATTATACAATCGGGTCGATTCTGTTCGGATCTTGTTATAACATTGCTAAGGTAATAATATTGCTATGATCATAACATATAACAATATTGCTATGAAGTTCTGTATTCTGTTTGCAGAGTAACTGCAAGACTGGTCATAAGTTCAAGTCATAGCAATATTGTTGAAAAATTGAGAATTTTTGAGCTGACAACACTGTTTTCAACTCATTGTTTAAGTGTTAGGTATCGATTTTGGCATTATTTCATGATTATCTAACCTCAAATTAATCAGTCCTGCACTGACATTTTTCAAAATTATATTGTTCAAATCGAAAGATTTTGTATTTGCTGAATCTGGTCGTCGTTGTGCGACTGGTGCAAGTAATCAATCATGTCCCCGAAATGGGAAAACAACTAAAAGCCGGATGAAAATAATCGTGATTTTTTTATAATATTCTAGCAAAATAGCTTGATAAACTATCCATCAGGCAACTGAAATTTCTCTGATATGCCGAAATTGTAGTTTCATATTTTCTCTACAAATTGGAACTTCAAGAAAAGGATTTCAAGTAGTTGGTCACAGTAGTGAACCTATCCTATATGTTTGTAATCACTATTCCAAGTTTTTCAATAATTCTTCTACGAATTGAAACTTTGAGGAAAGCTTTTCGAGTAGTCAGTGACACAACTGAACTCTCATATGTTTTTAATCCACTATTTTCTGAATTGTCATACAGTTGGAAGAATTTGTAGTGCAAAAACAATCCACTACCTTGTTTTAAGATAGCAAGCACAAAATTGATGTTGCCGAAATAGCAAGAAAGCTGACCAGATGTCGTTGAAATTGACAGATCATATTGCCAATATCTTCCCTACAACCATATTGCTATTTGCAAACAGAATCGACCCGAATGTGTATGTAATAGTGTATTGTATTAGAGTTGATGAACGTATTTTATGTAGGTAGTGGTGAAAGTTACTCCACGAAATTGGATTGAAATTATCAGAATGCCTGACAAGAATTTATATTTACCCGATTTTCGTCTAGAGGAAGCAGTATGTAGTTGTTTCAAGAATGGATTTTCAAAAAGACTTGCCCATGTTGTTTAGAACTCCATACTCTCCACGATAAATGTGATCACAGATACATTAACACTAGTGATTTCATCTAAACTCTGTTTGTTTGAATGCTCTCCTCTCAAATAAAAAACATTAAGCGGTAAACATGAAAAATTAACTGATAAAATTCGAAGAACGAGTTGGATTGAAAAGTTATTTCTTTATTTCAGAAGAAGTCCTATTTTTCCACCACTAGCTATAGAACCTGCCTTTATTTACTCCTTTTCTAGGCGTAAAGTGTTTTTTTACTACCAAGGTAGTTTTCGTCATTTTGTGAACCACTAGTCGACAAAGACATAGCCACATGTGTTGTAATTAACACGAATGCACTGTTCTGATCAGAGATTTGCAGGAATGGCACTCGAATTTAGTAGGTATTTATCAATAACGATTTGTCATATGCTGTCATAGTCGTGGCTAAGTATTGAAAATAAGATTTTCATAGTGACAATAGGCTGAAGCCTCGGGATATAATCTTGGTCCCTGGTTAATAATGATATTCTTTACTACCTTGATGTATGAATAACTATTACTACATTACTAGTATTCAAAACAGTTCTGGTGGTGACGTGATTACATGTTGCATATATTCGTGGTGACTGACGAGAAAGCGCTTACATTATATGAATGTTTGTGTTATTATATTTAATGACGATTAGGAAAGTTACATTCCTTCTTCTGTTTCATTGTACATAGGCGAAGATGGTAACTATATTTGTGCCGGTTCAGATGAAGGTATCATATTCGTATGGGAGAGAAAAAGATCGAACATAGTGACGGCTCTTTTTGGCGACGTATCGATTGTCAACTGTGTCCAACCTCACCCTAGTGCCTGCTTTATAGCTTCCAGTGGAATCGATTCCGGCGTCAAATTATGGTCACCCTTACCCGAAGTAAGTGTTCATTTTATATATACTTATTCAGTACTGATTCATATGCATCGGAATTATTCGTCATGTTCATATTTTAACTTCAGTTATTAGTCATTTCTATTAGTAGGAGAGCCGACTGCAGATATCTACCGTCATCTTATAACAAAATGATAGATGTCCCAAAAGAAAAAGGGAAAACATTAGAGTTTATCTAACGGTACCTGTGCCAATCCCTATCCTGAGCAAAATAATCAAAACATTGCACTTTCCTGTGCAGAAATTTGCACTCGATTTTGCGATTTGATAACGAGGTGAGAATTATGCCATCTGATACCAACTGTCAGTCTGAGCCAAATTCACAGCACTTCGATTTATTTGCTCCTATTATTCCCGACATTCTTCCGCCATATGATAACGAGTTGAAACAAAAAGCAAATGAAAGGGAAAAATGTCCCTTTCGCGAAAATTCAAACGTGCCGCGACTCAAACTGATTTAAGTTAGTGGCAGAGCGTCAATATTTCCGTGAATATTTCGCCCGGATTTGCCGCAACAAACCAGTGCATCTCAAACAAAAAACTTGTATATTTACCCATTTATAGTTTTTTTCACGCCGGCAGGAGGAGAAGTTAGTTTCTCCGGTAAAAAAAGAGGTGCAGAAGTAGCGTATTATTCCCTAGGGAGATAATGTCACATATTTTATCCCTACGGAGTTTATACCAACATTACATTTTCCGTATAGATCTGTGCTTTCTTTTCAGAAAACTGTTCTCTAAAACGATTATAAGCTGCATCATACAAAGATCATACATATGTCTGGAAGAATCAATGTAGATGTAGTATCAACAATGTCTTGAGGATCTTCCTCGATTTCTTGTTCCATATTCGTTGACAATTTTCGAAGCTATTTTCATAAATTTCAGTTTGTTATTTATTTTGCTGTCACCATGTCTACAAGATGCATGTTGTCAAGATACGAATTCCACAAACTACTACTACTACAAATCATGACAAAATACTTTGACCAAATTTTTATTCTTCCTTAATTTTTTTGTTTTCGCCAGCGTAAAAAATATTATATATGTCGGCGTCAAACAGTGAAATCCGTCATTCTCTGGAATGTCTAGTCATTTCACGTATTGCCGGCAAACAGCGTAACTCTAAATTTCGTATACCGTTTGCCTTAATAGTTTCAGGCATTCCCTGTAATGACGGAAGGAAGATTCATTTAGGCTGAGTCAGCTTAGGTTGTTTAGAAGCAGTAGTCTCTTCTGTTCTCTAAAGTAATTTTCTGAAAAATATACTTTCTAGGAAGAAGGTTCATTTAGTCGGAAAATAGTTCCCTTCTTATGCATATTATGCAGAAGGGATATTTTCCTTCCTCAACCCTCCGGCAAACAGAGTAACGGCTGAAAATGGAAGTTACGCCGTTACGCTGTTTGCCGACAATACGTGAAATGACTAGGCATTTCAGGGAATGACCGATTACACTAATTGACGCCGACATATACACCTCAGGTCAAAATGCTATTTTTTCCTCGGTGCTTTGTATCCCTCTGTTTTCGCCCTCGAGCTTCAAATAGCACCTTGGAAAAACTCTTGGATTTCTATCCCTTGATGTATAACTATATTTTCACTTGAAGGAGATTTCAGGTGTTGTTTCAATTATTTCAGGATGACAGCATAAATCCAAGAATAGTAATAGATATTGCTGAAGTTGTGAGGGCAAATCAGGAGAGAATGTCGATGGATCCTTTTGAATCCATGCTGGTGAATATGAGTCACAGAATTCCTGGTATCAACGTACAACCAATGTCAGAAACTGAAGTACCAGCATGTCGAACTTCTTGATTCACTTTTTTCGATTGGTTGACCAGGTTTGATATATTTATTTGAAATTTTTCATTCATTACATTTTTGTATGGAATACCAAAGAATATTCTCAGACCTAGAAATGGAAAATATGAATGTGTGATGATCATTTTATTGGCACCACGTCATCAGTAAGACTGAAACTTCAATAGAATGATAACTCTGTAGGTTCAGTATCGTTGATCATGGAGAATGGACATGCAAGATCCATGAAAAATAAAAGAGCCCAAACCTTGGGAAGGATTCCCATCATGTGATATAATCCTCATTGTTTCTATACATACACGTGATACATTATAGACGCATGCGTATTCGCTCGTAGAATAACGTAGAATCCAATAATATCCTTGACAGCCTGAATTAGTAAACACAACTTCATGACCAAACTCAGCCTCCACTTTTTTTGCAAAAAATACTCATCGAATATCATAAATCTTCTACATATCACCTGATTGGATTTCTTAGTGAGATTTGGGCTCTTTTCTTGATAGCACCAAATTCCGAATTTCTGGACAAGCGCGAGCGGATTCAAGGAATCGAAAATTCTCGATCAAAGAATCATTATGCCATTTCCACAACTGATTTTCAGTTCTTGTATCCTCGTTTCAATATTGTGGTTGATTAGTTGCAGTGCCTCTGAATAAGATACTATAGGATGGTAGATAGATAGATAGAATTTTCGAAATTCTTCAGCATCTGCTGAAACAAAACGATAATGTATTCATTTTTAGGGTTGAAAACATGTGTTTTCTCGAATCGGCTTTGAAATTTCATTATTTCCAGAGTGAAATTTGCAAACAATATGGCTCATTCAGTGGTTTATAAGTCGCGAATGAAGCATGATCAACATACTATTGCATACTGGGAGGCCTTCAGAACATGATACCTAGTCAAACTGAATTTGGAATATTGGAATCAATCGATAAACCTAGTGTAATCGGGAACACAGAAAATTGGAATAACTATGATTTCGGGAATTTTATATTTGAATTGTTTTTTTTTTAGTATATCTAGTATATCAGAGTGGAGATGAATATTCAATCATGTTATATAATGGAAGCAATAACCCCAGCCCCAACCGGAGCATTTAAGTATTTTAAAATATTGCAAAGTATCATGTATCAATCAATCAATCAGTTTATTATCCGTTTGACAATTTAGATGTATAGGAAATAGTACAAACTTAAGAAATGGTAAACAATTCGCAGCAATAAATGAAATCATCCTGCATAATATAATAATGAGGCGCTGCAACAAATCACAGTTGTATTCCTAGGTTATCACTTCTTTTCCTCAGGAAATATTTAGAAATACACTTTTTAATCTTCATCGACTATTTTAAAACGATTTCTATAGCGTTTTCCATTCGCCAATTTACAGAGTACCTAGCACCGAGCAAGTACAAGTGGCACTGACTCGGTTTTTTCATAGATTGCAGTTCTAGCACAGAGCAGTGGAAATCAAAATTGGTCACTTCAAGAGCCGCATCAACTAAAAAGTTATTTACTCCGAGATATTGTCTATGCAAAATTTGTTTTTCCCTCACCAAATCTATCTGAAACATCTCTAATGCAAGGTTTATTTCTTGCTAAGAACTTTCAGATTCAGTTTATAATAAGTATTTCAATTGATTCTCCATCATCACTTGTATCCCAAAAATCTAAGGTATCTAAGGTTGTCAGTTCGGAAAAAGTTTGAAACGCTGGTATAGTACAACAGATTGGCTAAAACTATTGTTCACTTTTTTATAAAATAATATGAATGAATTTGGATGTGGAGCTATCGGCCAACCGCCCCCTGGCGCTCTTGGTGGTAATTTTCTAAAATTGCCGGCAGTGGGCAATCAACAGACATCAGAAGTTGGAAAAAGTTTGCTACTGAAGGTTTGTGAATGTTTATTGAATGTTTTGAATGAAATAATGCCTTTTATTATTTATATATACAGGGTGGGCCACCAGTAACGCCTCGGTCTCTAGAAGGCTAACCACTTATCTTCTTGGAATTCTTCCTCTCTAGGAAGTTGCATGTCAACATAGGCTACCATTTGAAATTATTTTGAAACTTACAGGATGTCTCCAAAAATCACAAAACACTGAAGTTGAACTTTTTTCAATCGAACACCCTATATATCATTTCATTTTGAGATTCTCCCTGGTGAGCTGATTTCAACAATCTATCATACTTGTGGTCTAGCAGTTATAATTACTGAGATATAGGGTGTGAGAAATCGAGATTTTCCAAGTTCAAGAATTGTCTAAATCATTCATAATTGGTCAAAACGGCTCACATGTCCCTATCTCAACTTTTGATCAACTATCTACTGACATTTAATTGAAACAAATATAGGGTGGTGCAGAATTCAGAATCTTGATCACCCGGTATATGTCCCAATCAAATATCAGTAGATAGTTAATCAAAAGTTGAGATAGGGACATGTAAGCCGTTTTGACCAATTATGAATAGTTTCGACACAAAAAATTCTTGAACTTGGAAAATCTCGATTTTTCACACCCTATATTTCAGTAATTATAACTGCTAGACCCCAAGTATGATGGGTCGTTGAAATCAGCTCAAATGAAATAATATATAGGGTGTTCGATAGAAAAAAGTTTAACTTCAGTGTTTTATGGTTTTTGGGGACACCCTGTATGTTTCGAAATAATTTTAAATGGTAGCCTATGTTGACATGCAACTTCCTAGAGAGGAAGAATTCCAAGAAGATAAGTGGTTAGCCTTCTAGAGACCGAGGCGTTACTGGTGGCCCACCCTGTATACCGGGTGCCACTTAGTATTGAAAGGGCTTTAGATCGATAGCAATAAGAGAGAGAGAGAAAATCTTTTTGAGAATGAAGTACAATATTGTTAGGTCTATGAAACAACATTATTTTGATCTCTACAAGATGTTTTCCAGGGGCTTCTCAACAACCTAAGCTGACCCGGCCTAAATGAACCTTCCTTCAGTCATTACAGGGAATGCCTGAAGCTATTAGACAAACGATGTACGAAATTTAGGGTTACGCTGTTTGCCGGCAATACGTGAAATGACAGGGCATTCCAGAGAATGACGGATTTCACTGTTTGACGCCGACATATACACACTGCTGGTGGGTAGGTGATGGCACTGTTGGTGCAGGAACCAATGCCTGACCCCAGACATGTCAGCCCTGGTACACTGCTCTTCGAAAAGGCTTATATCTCGAGAAATACAGACCACTCATATGGTACCTATGATACAGGGTGTTCCATTTGAAATAGCAAAGTTATGACAGTTTGAAAAAGTCAACTTAGACAGTTCATTATAAATCACCATGTGAGATATCTTCCAATTATGACCTCAATGAAGCGATAGTCGAAGTATAATAGAAGTTTATGCATAATTTTGGATGGAAAATTTGAAAACAGATCAACAGGCACGTTGGAATCAACATCTACGTATTTTAGTTTTTTGAAACAATTCTAAATAATTACTTAGCGACGCTGCAAACGAATTACAAAAACAAAACATCGTGTAGGCAAGATAACGATAAATCAAGATATGTGGAAAAAAAGGTGATCCATCTGACCTAACGATATTGTACTATACCCCCAAAACGATTTTCTCTATCTCTTATTGCAATGGAGCTATATAGCTTTCCCACACTACAGGGACACCCATTATATAACATATAAAATGACACGATTTCATTCAATAAACATTCAGCAGCATATTTCATTTAACTTATGATGTCTTTCGGATTTCCACTGGCGGCCAATTATGGAAAATTGCCACCACGGCCGCCATTGGTGACTTCATCAAAAAGTCCACAACACATTGAAATATTCTAGCTCTCTAGGGGTACAACTGCAATGCAATACAGTTACGAATTCGCTCGCGCAGGCTCACAAAGCGAGATACAGGGTTTTTATTATCTTATCGTAGAGATTCTCAATAACGTACTATGAAGTCAAAATAAAACTCCATTCATTATCCTTCTTTGTTCTGGTAATATTCTTTGTTAGCAATTTGAACACTCATACATAAGGGGCAGTAGATATTTCTGTTGATTATTTTTATCAAATATATATTCATATTTTTCTAATTTGTTTTTTTAACAATTGAATATAGTGTACAAACTTATATAATTCGGATCTAGATATTTATAAATTTATGTATTTATTTATATTTTTATATTTTGATCATTTGTTTGTGGATAAAAATAATAAAATATTAGTATGTCAGTTTTAACTTTCATATGGAAATTTCCAATCATAGACTTTCATTTGTTGAAAATATATCTTCCAGTCTAAGACAACTTCTGATCTGGTATAAGAAAGTAGTAAACAATAATAATACGATGAACATCAAGGTGAACTATTAGTCATCTTGGCTAATCATGTGTGAACAAAAATTTCATATAATTGGATTTCAATCTTTCATGTATGATGTATGGAATTTTCATACTTCCAATTATAATTATTTTCGATTTGTTGGTGTATCATATTGTGAACGAACTCTCAATTATTTCACACATTGTTGTTGTTTGAGCAATAATAATGTGTCACGAGGTCCTCGATCACTGTTGAAGGAGGAGGACCCCTAAAAAAAGAGAAGTAAAAAAGAATAAATAATATAAATTAATAATCTCCATATATATTTTCATAAAATAACAAACATATAAAAGACTATAATATGAGACTCATTGTATGCTGCATTTCTCAAAAAATAACAGAATCACTGGAAGTTTCTAAAATTTTATGTTTTAATGTTGGTTTCCCATGCTAACCTCTGTTTCTTTTGATGCAATAGTTTGAACACTATAACAATGGCTAGGGTGAAGACAACGATGCGCCAACATATGGGCTTTTCAGGAATCCAATCAAATACTGATAATTTACGACCTAGTATTACATAGTTGGTTTTAACAGGCTTTTCACTCGAAAAGGCCAATGTGAAACCTCGCCTCAACACTTGACTCAAGCATCATATCAAGGCTCGACTCCGATGATGAAAAAAAAAACATGAAATTGTGATGTCATCAACGAATGCTGTTGATTCTGGTTCAAATTCTTCTGAAATAACTGTATGAAATTGAAAGGAGGATGATATTTGAATCGATAATTTTTCCTCTAGTCTAGCAAAAAAGTAGCATAAAAATAAAACTTCATTTTTTCCCTAATTAACAGGTATTCCTCGTCTAATGAAAGATTCATGTCTGGAACATCTATTCGACAAAAGATGAATTCGTTTCTTCGATCAGAATTTTTGTTCAGCATTATTCTGAATAGTGCTCAATCTTCAGGTTTTGGCAATAGAGAAAAATAAATTTCTGATAATCATCTATCACACATCCGACTAATCTTAAAAAATACTTGACCAGGACAACCTGATAAAATTAATGTGTGGCATGACGTACGACCGAGACTCTACCTTATATTGGTGAGCGTAGGTGAATTTGGCCTTGAGATTACAGTGACGGATACAAGGAGGGTCAGGGGCGAAATATAGGTAGTATTGAATGCCAATGTCATTGCTTTGAATTTCTTCTTATACCATCAAAATTTGAAAATGCTATATCAGCATTGCCAGGGCTAGTTGTAGACATGGCTCCCTTTTACAGCTTGTGAAAACATATTCTGCATAGACGTATTATCAGATATTATATTTTCAATATTTCTCACTTCCCAATTCTGGTTTCATCAAAAAGAATGAAAACTTTCGAATTTCGAATGGAACACCCTTGATGTTTTACATTTTCCAGTACTGGAGACGATTTTATTTCTTGAATTGATGCTGGTGTTAATCTTGAGAAGAGGCTTCACTGTGTATTCACCCAATGCTATGTCAAAATTTCAAATTAAGAACTACATCACACTGAAACAGGACGGTATGTGGAATAGAAATGAGAAAATATACAACACGATTGAAATTATACAGTCGCGTTTTTTTCATATTCTTCAGATTTGAATCAACCCAATAAATAAAATAAAACGATAAAACAGACTGAATGAGTATACATTCCAATGCAAAAAGAAATAAAGTAGAATTAAAAATAAATATAATCATATGGATGACTACATTAGATATCATAAAAACTAATTTTTATGTCGAAATTACAATAGAAAAATATGTAATTTTAACTATAATAAATACATTCATATTTTATCAATCAGCAGCAGATTTTTACACCATATTTTTATATTAGCTGCGAAAGATTTGAATTATATGGCAAATTCATTTATGAATTTCAATTTTATTCCTTCACAAGTATAGAAATCTTGTATCTTGACCTTCATTATATATTTCGTCATTGTTCATGAATAAAATTCTTGTCATCATCACTCAGCAGGGGTTGCTTTTGTGTTTTCAAGAACTATATTGGCAGTTAATGTTACATACGTAATATAATATAAATGTTACTTATAATTAAGCCATGAAAATATGGCCAATAAATGTGTTCTCAATATTCAACCTGTAATTGAGATTGAAGGACTACAATTCAATGAAGTTTTCGTTTTTAAATTCAAATATATTGATAATGCCTTATCTGAAAAAATGTGTCTGAAGTTTTACATGCGACTATCATTAGTTTCAAATCATCTTCCTGGGTAAGGTAAGTGTCTTTTCCATATCATTTTAAATAAATATTTTTACAAACAATACATTTACCGGCAATGAAGTGATAACCTGAAATATTGTCGAAGTTTAGTATCCAGAACCTCTTGTAATGAGTTATGTGTTGGTGATTTGAGTTTGAAATACTCTGTTCTAATTCATTAGTGTACTTGATCGAGGAAACATCATTTAGGATCTATCGAGGCACCCTAAATGATGTAAGATACCTTTTTTTTCAAAATTGGAATACTTTCGTTCACAATACACTAAAGAAACAATTAAAATCGGTACAAAGTCCTTGAACAAACTTTAGCAAAATTTCAGGAAAAAACTAACAATCTTAGTTCATAATATTTTTTGAAATTTATACAAGTTCTTTTGTTTATGTGGAATATACATCATCTTTAGTTTTTTGTATGGAATCGTAATCACGAGTTATCCAACAAAATTTTCTGGTGCCTTTCGAGATATTCGCAAAAAACAGCGAAAATTTCGATGTTTTTTTTGCTAATAATTTCAAGAAGTATATGTGGAAGCAATAAAACAAATCTTACTTTTTACAAAGGAGACTAAAATCGCCACGAATGGGTCAATGATTCCAAGAAGTGAAATTTGAAGTAACATTTCGAGCTAAATATTTTTCGATTGTTGTATCTCGGGTTTTATCAAACATACAGTGCTGCGGTTTGCCTCCAATTGTGGCGAATTCAGTCTTCTTTGGAAAAGGTTGGATTTATTTTTCTGCCACCACACATACTTTTAGAAATTATAAGTAAAAAACCAAAAATAGTGCGAAGATTCCGCTGTTTTTTGTGAATTTACCTTGATGGATAATTCCACACCCGGATTCAGCACACCAAAACATAGGAAATGATGATAAAACCGAATACCTACTGGATTTTTGCAAGTCGAAACTACCATTTGCCTGTATTATGGCCGAAGCTACCGATACACCTTCTCGTCGCTCTGCGGCGCCGCAATGAAATAAGGCTGCCCGGTCTGCAGATAGGGCACCCTGCCCATCGTGGAGTAGCTCGAGACCCGCGCGTGCTGCCCGCCGCCCATCTTGGGCGGCAGCGTAGCGTAGGCGGCGGCGTAGGGCGGCACGGCGTACACAGGAGGCGCGCCCTTCACACTGCACGCGCAGCTGCTGCCGGGGCCGACGACGACCGGGGCGCCGCTGGCCAAAGGGCCGCCCCTGTATTGGGTGCCGCTCATCCTCAACCTGCAAGTGAGTTACAGGTCAGTATAGAACGATTACTGCAACGTTAATTATGAATAAGCTTTTCTTCAGATTATTTTTTTTTTTAATTTTATTTATTTATTGAACAAATAACTTCCAGACAGAATAGGCTCTGGTATAAGGAAGTACATAATTATATGCCTATAGGTAAACATAGCATCATTCAAAATATATCAACAACTGTAAATTGGCGTTGATCAAATGTATGGAACCATCCACATATCTCAGTAACCAGTAGTTAGATCTTCCTAAATTTGTATGCATGGTGAATTGGATTTGTGGCGGTTAGAAACATTACATCGCAAATTATTCCTGAATAATTAAAAACTGATTAAACAAGGAGGCTGATGAGAAATGTCATACTTATGTGTTAATTATCAGGCAATTCTGAAGAAACATTATTGTTAATAATAGGGATGTATACAACAAAACATACATACAGTGTGACCCATTTAAAATTGAACCACCCCTGTGTCTTACGTAATCGTTGGGTAAGGATCCTGAAATTTGCTGGTGCAAGAGATATACCAAAAATGCACTCTATGACCAAGTGGGGTCATCTTCAGTGATATACACTGCTCGCCAACAGCCATGAAACTACCCCAATTTCCGGAAAATGATATTAGGAGTCAAAATAGGTCGAAAATCACTTCAGATTTGGAATCAGGACGCCCGATTTACTAACTATTCAAATTCTTCCTGGAAGCACCCCCGTATCTCACGTAATTGACTTTATCTTTGGACTTTCTCTTCCTCCGGCAAATTTCAGAACCCTACCTCAATAATTACGTGAGATACGGGGGTGCTTCCATGAGAAGTGAGACAAATTTTAATTTTACTGAACTGAAAATCTTCTAGGAAAACTTTGAATAGTTAGTAACTTGGGCGTCCTGAAAATCGACGTGATTTTCGACCTGTTTCGACTCCTAATATCATTTTCCGGAAATTGGGGTGGTTTCATGGCTGTTGGCGAACATTATGTTATACAGTGGGTCACACTGTATAACATAATAAATCGAAACAATAATGATTGCACAATTATTAGTTTTTCACAATTATTTTGGCATACGAATCGTATTTTGAATCGTAATTTTCGGCTATTCATTAATTACCAAAGAAGGGAAGATTTGTATTTCGTGCAAGATAACGAAATACAAATCTTCCCTTCTTTGGTATATATTCACGTGCACACAGCCCAGCAAACCTCACTTATTCATTAATTCGCTCATGCCATCACATTGTGCTGTTGTACAATGCACAAAAAATGCAGCGGAAGACGAAGGAATCCGGTTGGTACATTATGATTTAAAAGTAAGTACCTATTCTATAGTCACTCACATATAGTTTTCATTTTTGAAATTTGGTAATTTCTCTGATTCCTCATCGGAATTTCTTCTGCAATAGGAGCGAATAGATATACTCGTAAAATTTCTGAAATAATGCAAGAAGATTGTATTCATGCAATCAAACGGGAGGACTGCTCTGACATGCTGACAAAATATGATCGTGTGTGTTGTAGACATTTTCAATCTATTAGCAGTATTAGCTTGTATTGCAGAAGTGGCAGAAGGAATTTTGATAAGGAATGGCAACATTTCATAATGAAAACTATGTGAGATTACTATTTACCTGAAAAATCATATTCCTTCGTCTCTCGCTGCATTTTTTGTGCATTGTACCAGGTGATTCAATAAGGGTAACCGAGAAGCTGTATCTCAGGAACTTATACATTGCTAACAAAAGTTATGGTTCGAGAAAGGAAGGTTTGGTGAATAAAAAAAAGATCCATACATACCATTCTGGTTCTTACCGCCCTCGCTAGGAGGCGTGTTTAATAAACTATCAGTTCCTGAGATACTGTACCTCGTCACCGTTATTGAATCACCTGGTACAACAGCACAATGTGAAGGCATGCTTGAATCAATTAATTGCGCAGGACACACGATTCGTATTCCAAAATATTGTGAAAAAACTGTTTCAATCCTTTGATTCCTCTGTTCACAAATAAAAAAAGTGAGGTTGTGTTTCAATAGTTCACAGAAGAGTGAGGTTGTGTTTCAATATTTCACCCACCCGATAGTATACGTCGAGCTTACTCAAGGCTTGAAATATTTGCACTTATTTCAATGCCAACCTGTATATATTCATACTAGATTTATCGATTACGTCAATTTTTGCAGTCTGAAAATGTCTTCATCACTCTAGTTCGAAAATAGAAATGATTGAAATAATTAGATGGAGCTATCTTGCAAAAACGTGAAACTTATTAGTGTAGAACTAACATTGTCTAATATGATAAAAATTCATCAAACGGAAACTTCCAAATTGTGTAACATTAAGTGCTTAGATAGAAACTCCGAAAATCAACTTGAGGGGAATTTATCTGAAGTAAACTTCCTTATCAATATTATAGTTGAGTTATTCACAAACCTTATTATACATATTATGATAATCAATATAGCTATGAAAGCCACTACTCCTCCAACTATTCCTATAATGAGTGTGTCATCGTTGTTCAAAGTCGATTGTCCGCTTTGGGGTAATTTGGACTTCGGCTTTTCGGTTGTCGGCATGGACCATATGATTTCCGGTTCCGTAGCCTTCGTTTTGAAGCGTGTCCCTCTCGTCAGAGTGGAGGTGGAGGATTGGGTCGAAGTGATGGTAATCTTCCGAGGATCACAAGTGAGTTCGTCGTCACCGATCTGAACTAAGAGCTTTCCTGTAATAAAACCAAACATTTAGACACATATTGTAAATATCATTCGATATGTCTGTCTACCCATTATCGTTCTAAATATAAACCTAGTTAGTGAGCGATAGGTATAATATTGTTCATTGAAAAAAAAAACGCGAACATCGCCCCTACTGGCCACATCTTCAGTAAGCTAGTGACCTCTATGGGTTGCGTGCAAGATTTGTCAGATGACCGACCCTGAAGGTGAAACATTGAAACACAACTTCACTTTTCTCATTTGTATACAAGGCACAAAAATTGCAACGAGTGACGAAGGAATCCGATTTTCAAGTAGGTACATTGTGATCTAAAAGTACTATAATCACTCACATATACAGGGTGATCCACGGTGGATGGCCTATTAGAAGTATCTGGAGAACGAAAATACAGAACATTCTGAAAATTGGGATGCTTTGATAATTGAACATTCTCTATCCCTCTAAAATATTTTCATCGATACAGTGTTGCCACTTCTATCAGAAACAACTAGCAACTTTGTTATTTCAAATGAAACACCCTGTATTTTATTGCATATTTGGATTCTTCCTGAAGAGCTGATTTCATCAATGTATCACACTTGGGGTCTAGCAGGAATGACTACAGAGATATAGGGTGTTCAAAATTGAGATTTTTCGATTTTAGGATTTTTTAACGGCTTACTTTTGATTCACTATCTACTGGAATTTAATTGAAAAAAATACAGAGTGCTTCAAGATTCAGAATTCTGATCACCCTGTATCTGTTCCAATTAAATATCATTAAATAGTGGATCGAAAGTTGAGATAGGGACATGTGAACCGTTTTGATCGATAATGAATAATTTCGACACAAAAAAATCCTAAAAATGAAAAATCTCGATTTTGAACACACTCTGTAACAATTCCTGCTAGACCCCAAGTGTGATACATTGATGAAATCAGCTCTTCAGGAAGAATCCAAATATGCAATAAAATACAGGGTGTTCCATTTAAAATAACAAAGTTGCTAGTTGTTTCTGATAGAAGTGGCAACACTGTATCGATGAAAATATCTCAGAGGGATAGAGAATGTTCAATTATCAAAGCATCCCAATTTTCAGAATGTTCTGTATTTTCGTTCTCCAGATACTTCTAATAGGCCATCCACCGAGATCACCCTGTATGTCATTGTATTCGGACCACAGTCAACTTCATGTATTTCAATAAAATGCAATTTAACAGTCAATTAATGAACGAATATCAAATTGTGATACATAGTTGAATAGAGAATTTTAAGGCAAATAAGATAGGCTACAGAAATATACAAGGTGCCTTTAAAAAAAAGGGTTGGGTCTACTTCCAATCGAACAGGTGATTGAAGAAAATTGTCAGTGGGTTCATGGGAAGCGCCATCATCGATAATACAACCCTTGTGAATTTCGAATTCTTATCTCTCCAAATAAAAAAACTACTGGCTGTTACATGCCCCATGTGTCACCCGGTATATCCTACCGATCTATTATACAAATAATCTAAAAAAATGGATATAATATATTTATAATTTATTGAGTCACATAACTGTAATAACCTTGAAATATAAAACAAATAAAACTATTGGACATTGTCATATTTAATTCCTTATTTATTTGATGTAATCCCGAATGATACCAAAAAAATAAAATCATCTAGGTGCTATACAATTTTAAAATGGATATTAGACTCTTCAAGGAATATGTTTGCTATTCTTATAATATAATTTGATGGCCAAAATATCAATTATTATATATAATTATAGGAAATATGGACAGGAAATATAAATATGAAAGAATGAAAAAAATGGATGCCAAAAAAACTGGTGTCTTGAAATGAAATGAAATTATGTAATTCGATTATATTGATTGATTTGTATTTGTATTCAACAATCCTTACAAGTTACACTTCGTGAGGTTTTTCTTTAGTTTATTCAATACACTACTCAGGGATCACCACCAATTAGTTTCACTGCGGGTCCGTATATAACAAATATAAATTTGTCGCGGTCCGTTTGGTAGATGATAACGAACAACCTAGATCTGAAATATCAATGAATTAATAAAACCAGAAGAGATCAGAACATTTAATCATTGAGTAAACATCTAATTGAAAAAACGTTGTAAGTACATAATATTAATGCGAGAAATTACATTTTCCGTCGACCTCGTATTAACGACTAAGTTTAATGTATCTGAAATCGTTCATTAATGACCCCTATTAATGAACGATTTGTCTATTAATGCACGATTGTTTTATAGGCAACCAAACATACACCGCGTGCATTCATTGTTTATGCTATAACTTACGGAATCTGCATTTAAATCGAAAATATGGCTTTCATCGAAAATTTTCCGTTAACGGGTTCGCCTTTCCAAGTTTCTGAAACGATTTCAATCCCTTTTTTCTAACACATGGAATTTATTTTCTATGTTGCTCATTTCGACAAATGTCAAATGTCACTAATGTCAGTAACAAGGCTACTGGGTGTTTCTTAGTAGTTTCCGGGTGAATGATGATCGCGATCCAAGTTTTCTTCATTGCAAGAGAAATGAGAAATATAGTCGACGGAAAAATTTTGTAACCAACTCGTTTATTAAAAGGCGTATAATGATCTCGAACATTAACGTGCTCGCTTCGCTCGCACGTTAAAATATCTCGATCATTAATCGCCCTCATTAATACACTAGTTGGTTAAATAACTATTTTTACTCGCAACAATGTTTCTGAAGTCTGGTGTTGAGTTCGTGCAAGCCATCCTGGAGATATTCATCGGTAGGACGCGATCGAAATTTATTTTTAATGAAGTTCATCTTGGAAAACGCTGCTTCACAAATATATGTTGATCCAAACATTGTACAAAGTTTCAAAGCCAAAGGACCCCGCACTTTTAGTACGTAAAATGGTTCTCGGTGAAATTTTCTGAATTTTCAGTATGTTGTAGAATTCGATGAACTGATTGAACCTGCAGAATCGTAAAGTTCTTTGATGAACAGATTCTGAGATACAGGGCGTTGAAGTTACAAATCGGTATTTTTCATTTAATTATTTTCTCGAAATTCAAAGATGCCAAGTACAATTTTTTTCGCTCATATCATCAACGAACCTCCATATTACTCAACATAATTCAGATGGTTCAGATAATGTAATTGTTTACAGAGTGAAACATATAAACATTTCAGTGATGTCTGAAAATTCGATGTAATAATGAAATATCGAAAAAATGATTCAGGCATGCAATATACTATTCTCATTCCATCATGAATCACAATTCATACATTCTATACAGGGTGATTTGAAATATTGGTGACACCTAAGACCGATTTATTCATACACATCCTGTATATTCGAGTGAATTGTTAACCTCCCAAGGAAGCTAATACCGTATGAACATGATTTCGTTGAGATATATAGGGTGATCGTGAAGATTTTTGATGATGAAAATGACATAAAATCGTGTTTTTTGAAATCACCCTGTTATTCATGATTAACTCGGTGAAATTTCCTAATTATTCCTTAATATATTCATCATTCGCTCCTCAACGCTGTCTTGAAAATTCAGTTTCCTATCATGACGGGTGTCATAGTTATTAATTCAGGAACTTACCATTTGCATGAAGAGTTGAGACTTGTTCACTTATATTCGCATAGTGGCCGATATTTTTCACAAATAGTGAAACGTGAGAATGTGGAGACGAAAATAAGTTTAGTATTTATATACAGGGTGAACATTAGAAATTCAATAACAATAGACCCTAACAACACAGGGATGTCCTAGGTACGTCCTTTTTTTTGTCCCGCGGTACAAGGAAATGATTGGAACATCCAGGGGATGTCCTGCAGTAGTTCTCCAGTGGACATCCCGCTTGGTACATCCCTAGGTTATCCTATTCGTGTCCCAACATACTGAAAATTCAGAAAATTTCACCGAGAACCATTTTACGTACTGAAAGTGCGGGGTCCTTTTTCATTTCTGGGTGTTTATTACCACACACAAATTTTATCCAAAATTCTTCGCAACAACTTCCGAATTTAGGTGTTGCAAAACAGTATTTTCTTGGAAGTCGATCAGTTCTATCTGAAGAGCTGCTTTATTACATCCGAAAACATTCACCGCTTCATTGCTCCATTCACCATCGGGCTGTGGAGAGTAAATGTTACTGAAAATTTCCACTGGCACGCAGGAAATTTACAATTTTGATCACTTCTTGCATCGTATTTGGGTCCGCACAAAATAGGTCGGCGATCCGGATCCGGTGAGGACGGGAAGTAGAGGTGTGTAATGTGACACTTCTCAACCTTCAATGACGTTAGTAATGACAACATTACATATATGGTTGTAATTAAACATTTTTTCAGCTCTTTTTCGCGGCTTAATGTCACCCTTACCTGCCAAGTGTTCCGGTCCCGCACACCTGATGCTCGTCATGTGCATGGGCAGCCACCTCCTCAGCGCCCTGGCCGCGCAGTCGCACACGATCGGGTTGGTGTTGAGGCCGACGATCTTGAGGTCGCCTCTTCGGTCCTCCAGCGCCGCCAGAACTTGCTGGCTGATGGTCGTCAGCTGGCTGCCGGTGACGTCCAGGGTGATCCGGGTGGATCTGGGCACCGGGAAGAACAGCGCCGGAGGAAGGGACGTTAGGGAGGTGTTCATCAGTCTGATGATCACTTCTGGACCTGTGGAGGTAAGAACGTGTTTGTTGATGGTTGATGGAATAATGAATAAATCCAGACACTGAGAGGAGCATCTACAATGAGTCACTCTTGCATTGAACTGCTAACCATCAAGCGCATGAGTTCCATCTACTATCAGGGTATGAGCCAATGATTAGCATCTCAGGGCCTTTTCAGTATCGTAAAATTTTACCTTTTCTTGCTATAATTATAATGAAAAATGTCTCAAAATCACGAAAAAAGTCGCTAATATGTGGGTATGTTCAAAATTGGTTTAGTCATTAGGACAATTGACATTTGGGCGTTTGAATGTCTAATGTTTCTAGGATGTTTCTAGGATGTTTAGCCTTTATTGCAAACATCAAAATATATTTTTGATAATATATTTGTTTACCAAAGAATAATTTTCGAGTTGAGTGAAATTTCAGCATGCCCCAGTTTTTTTTCCTACCCTAAACATTCACTCTGGCTCCGGCCCTGATTGAAAGCTATTGAGAATATATAATGATATATTTTGTATATTTAAAAATTATTCTGTATGAATACTATTTATGCGGATTGGCTGTTTCCACAAAATGACAATTGATTTACCTTTAAGTCCCGATAAAGTTCCCGAAGAAATACTCCTCAATCTCGAGCCCCTCACTCCAAGTTCTCTCAGCCGAGGATGTAGCAGAGACTGCAGTTGGTCTTTTCCTATGGCTGCATCTTTAGTTTCGATGTTGATCTTCTCTAAGAGAGGCATATTTTGTAACAGACCCTGAACATCGAGGTATCCTAGTTTTGGGTAACCGTACGCATCTAGAATCGATAAGTTCGGTATGGCCTTGAAAGCGTTCTTTTCTATCCGACTGCATTCTTGTAGAGAATGGAGACTCAAATGTCTAGAACAACCAAGATCATTCATTTAAAGATAATAAATAAAATTGAAGTGAACATTGATTCATATCTCGCTATTTTATTTGAATTTTGTAAAAAAGACCTAATATTTCTTCAGAGGTTACTTATCTTACTTGGGATCTCTTCTCGTTTCAATGATTGATAATATTAGTTTTGGAAAATTCAGTATGGATGGAGACTGAGGAAGCCCCAAAATTTCGAAATGATTCTAATTTTGGTTATTGCGCAATCTCAAAGGAAGTCTTGAAAACACCGCCTACATTAAAATTTGGAGTCACATCAAATATTCATTGTCTCCTCAAAAACTGAGCTAGATACAGAAATCACACAGAGAATAAAAAAATTGTTATTTCAATAGTTCAATCTACTTAAAATATGAAACTCAGAAAAACCGGTGTGTACAATGACATTCATCATGAATATCGATAAATTCATCCACTGTGAAGCTACTGGCTGGAAATATTATTTCGAATCTAATTGCACTAGAAGAAGCTCCATATTACTATCAATAAAACCACAACGTTTTATTGAAATTGATGGAAAGATAAATGAGAAATGAATAGAAAGAAGATTTTTCATGGAAATATTAATAATCTCGAAAACGAAGCAAGTTGGGCCACATGTTTTTTATGAACTTCATTTCCTAACATATCACAGGGAATCACCCCTTGAACATTTTCGGTGATATTTAGATACACCCTGTATAACGGATAAATTCATTTTTTACATTATTAGCCATCTTCAAGTTGAACCCTGAAATATGTCGATTCATGTTTTTGGATAGACACTCTGTGACATAAAAAAATTCCCCCCTCCTTCACTCCCCTTAACGTGACAACCCCCTATTCCATTTAATACAATTTAGGGGTTGGTTGACACTTTCACAGCGAGGAGGGTGCGAAGAAGGGGGAATTTTTTTGTGTGGCAGAGTGTCTTTTTAAAAATGGCCTGTAATGTAGAAAATGAATTTGTCCGTTACATATGGTGCGCACTGTATACAGACGGGTATATTGAAAACGATTAAATTTTTACTCATCTTTGCTTTCGAGAACGAATCTATCTCCGTTTCAACATAATTACAGAAAAATCGTCTTAGTAAATTATTGTCTCTGTGTTGTTGTTAGTTGACATAAAAGAAGATCAGTGGCTTACGATGATATTCACCATAAATATGTATAAATTAATCCACTGTGACGCCACTGGAAATATTATTTTGAATCTAATTACACCAAAAGAAGTTCCATGTTACTATCAACAAAACCACCAAATTTCATTGAAATTGATGAAAAGACATTTGAGTGATGAATAAAATAACGATTTTTCTTGGAAATATTGATACCCTGTATCTCGAACACCAAGCAAGTTGCTAAACCTGTTTATATAAACTTCATTTCCTAAAACTCACTCGCGAACACTTTGTATACTCATATTTCAATAGAACGAGGAGAAAATCCTACAAAATTAAAAAAATTAATTCAGCGGGATTGCAAACTCTGTGTTATTAAAACCACAATGGGATTCAAATATAAAAAATCTTGAATCCCCTATGATATTACCTGAGATTATCCAGTCCAACAAGATCATTATTGGAAATAGCACCTATTGGATTATCAGAAATGTTCAATGACTGTAGATTATGGAGCAGTTTCCATATCTGCGAGTAATTCGACACATCAGGAATCTTATTATTGGACAAATCCAACTCTTCCAACAAAGTAACCCTTTCAAATATCCCCACATTGAGCATCGAGATGTCATTGTGCGACAAATTCAGATGCTTCAAAAACGGCGTCTCCAGATGCGGTACCGCTTTCATGTTAGTACCGGCCAGATTCAGTTCTCTAACTGTCTTAGGCTCCCCCAGTATGTTCTGTACTGCCGTTTCGGACAAGGGATTGAAAGACAAATCCAGCTTCTTTATATTGACCATGATGCTGTCATCTGCCGGAATCTCCCTGAGCTTATTATGTGACAGATCTACCGAGGACACGAAGAAGTACTGTCTCTGTAGGGACTTCAAGGGAGCTATTTCAAAAAGGTTTCTTGCTAGATTCACATTTTCCAACATCTGAAGTCTACTACGTTCGAAAATGGTCTCTGGTAAGTCGGACAGTATGTTGCCTTCTAGATTCAGCATCTCTAAGCGTACTAGGCCTTCAAATGTTCTGTCACCTAGCCTGTCGAGCTTGTTATTGCTCAGATCTAGTACTTGTAACTGCGTGGAGTTATGGAATGCCATGTCACTTATGGATTCGATCTGATTATTGGCTACAATCAGAGATCTTAGTCTGGGTAACCTAGCAAAGTCGAGTTCCTCAATGGTTTTCAACTGGTTGTTTGACAAATCTATGTATTGCAAAAATTGTAGGTTAGCTATGAGCTCTGCCGGGAAGAAGTTGAACTTGTTACTGCTAGCGTGGATTTCCTTCAGCCTGGGATGAATTCTGAAGGACGATGGAAACAGGTAACTTAACTGGTTTTGAGATATGTCGAGGACCTCGAGGCTAGTACCGGTATTGAAGAACTCTCCTTTGAAGGAGCTGAGTTGGTTTCCTTTCAGCAGCAAAGTTCGGATGTTCATGACATTGACGAAAGACCCGGTTTTGATGTTACTAATGTTGTTGAAAGACAAATCTATCAATGTAATGTTAGGCATATCAGCAAAAATACCGTCCGCTAGATCTGTTAAACCGTTATGTCCCAGGTATATTTTCAACATGGCTCTGGACTTCGCGAAGAACTCTGTCGGAAGTGACCTAACACCCCCGTGTGTCATATCCAGGACTTGTAACTGAGTTAGCTTGTGCAATAAGTTGAATGGCAGGGTTCCCATGTGTATATTCCTGCTGATGTTGAGGTATTGCAAAGCTGGTACCATGCTGAACGCGTTTCTAGAGATTTCCGTCAAGTGGTTGTCACTGATGTCCAACCTTTGTAGTTTCAACAGTGCCAGAGGTGCTGCAGCAAGATTGGTGATACGATTTTGTGATAAATCCAGTTCTGTAAGTGTGTTTTCCAGCCCCGAGAACGCTTCAGCGTTCAACGAGTTCAACAAATTCCTGGACAGATCCAAACTTTCCAGTTGTTGGAAGTACTGGAACGAGGCTGACGGTAGTTCGCGGACTATGTTCTTCGAGATAACCAGTTTGGTGACTTTGTCGGCGATTGACCGTAATATGTCTCCGGAGAGTGCTGCTACTCGGTTGTAGTCGAGTTGGAGGGAAGTTAGCCGTGGCAATCGTCCCAAGGCTGAGGCCGGGATCAGAAGAATGTTGTTGTCTTTTAGGTTGAGGAATTCCAAGTTGTCCAAGCCTTCAAAGGCATCGTCTTCAATCTGTGAAAAAGATATTCAAATCAGTGTTCTCTGAAGAGAGAGATAATTATTCATGTAATGTGTGAGTACTTACCGTTCTCAGTGAATTGACGCCAATATCTAACTTCCTCAATTGTTTCAGTCCCAAAAAAGCTCCCGGAACTATGTTAGCCAGATTATTTCTGCTCAGATCTAGATGATACAAATGTCGCAGAGGAGCTAGATGAGTATTGTCCAAATTCTGAAAATATAGGTTCCCCATATTTGAATATATCGAAATATTCTCAAAACTCAAAAGATTGTGACATTGCAGAAACAAAGATAAAGAATCCATTATATTATGTTGCAATATTCCTTACTTTCGAACACTTTGAATTATAATAACCAATCTTGGCGATTCATCAATGTTTACCTGAATGAGATTGGATGACAAGTTCAAATATCTCAGATTTTGAAAACTTTTCAGTGCCACACTGGGAAATTCACCGATGAAGTTTTCCGATAGATCGAGTACCACCAGATTTTCGCAGCCTTGAAAAACGTCACTGTTCAGTCTCGATAATCTGTTGTGTGAAAACTTCAGCCTTTTCAGTTTTTCCAGAGGTGAAAATGCACTGCTCTCGATGTGGGTGATCAAATTGTTGCTCAGATCTATTTGCTCGAGATACTGCTGTGCTAAGAATGCTTCGGATTTAACTATTTCTGGAAATGAAGATATTTTACATGAGTCAGTAAATGTTTCAAAATTATTTTGTTTTACCTATCCTGTTGTCTCTCAGAGATAAAACTCTCAATTTTTCTGGACCATTTAGTGAGCTACTTGGTATGGTCGTGAAGCTGTTCCTATCCAAATAGAGTTCCTGTAATTTTATAGTATACCTATTACCAAACGAGCATACAAATAAGTATAGCATATTATACAGGGTATGTCGCGACTCGCGACGAGCTTACACTATCTTTATATCAAGAATCAGTCGGGAGAAATCCATGAAAATGTGCATGCTTATATTTTAGAATCCTATAGTTGAATATTCTCTATTTTGAACACCCTATATCTCTATAATCATTTCCGATAGCCCTCAAGTTTAATGTATTGATGAAATCAGCTGTTCAGGGAGAACCTAAAAATGCAATGAAATACAGGGTATTTTATTTGAAATAACAAAGTTGTTGCTACTTTTTGATAGAAGCGGCAACACTGCATTGCTGAAATTGATTCTAAATCAATAGAGAGTATTCTTAAGTATAAGCATACATATTTTCATGGATTTCTGCCGACTGATTCTCGATATAGAGATAGTGTAAGCTCATCGTGACATACCCTGTATACGAGTGTGATCTTTCAAGAACGAAACAGGTGGCTGAATCACGAGAAGTGCCCTTTTTAGTGAATGTCTCTGAAGTGAGTTGTGTACATTATTTTTTCCACCAATAAATACTTTTTTGTAACAACAAATTTTTAATTCTGGCGGAAAACGATCGTACTTATATTCTCAATCTTGAAATTATCATCAAAAAACAATCGAGTGTTCCACGGGGAACATGATTATTTAAAACAAATAAATCGTAATTGCCAAATGCCTCTATGAGAACTATTTCTGTTTGCTTTTATTTTGGTATCAACTCTTTCGATAAAAAAACAAGTTTAATTAATTTTTAATTGGACTTTTGATGTTTTAATAACAGATTAGAATGTGTATCGATGAAAGTGGCCAACCTATAATTTCAAAGTTCAATAATTCAAAAATGGTTACGAATATCAATATGGATGTTGAGATAAGAGATGTTCGTGTTTCCATTTTACATTTTATGGCCTAAAAATATAAGGGGTGTTCCATTTGAAAATCTCGAGAAAAATCACTTCGAAAAGTTCCGAATTGAATAATCATTTTTAGCCACCCTGTATAATCTATCATCATCCAATGATTATTTTCTCCCAAATTTCATAATTGTGACTACAGCGACTTTTTCGGTATGCATCTGCAGATGACAATAGTTGAGTTTTATTTATCCGATTCCGGTTGCTACTTTTCATTCCGTCTCACTACAAGGAATGATGTGGAATGACTGTTGACAGGAGTCAAAAAATCAAATTAGATTGACGAAAAACGAAACTTTTTGAAAGTAGAAGACAATTAGAAGACATTTTCAACGTGAGTTCCACTAGTTCATGATTCTTTCAAGTAATGCAGGTTTCATATGTTCACTCCTAGATGAAATAATTTCTCCCGATCTTAGAGAAGTTTCTTCAATCACCATAATCACTCCTTCAAATATTAGTTGATTCATTTACTAGATTCTCAACTCTAGTATTATGATTTTGAAATTAGTCAGATCCCCCATATACAAATATAACCTCTTATATAAATTCTCCAAGGTCATGAAGTTTCTCGTTTTATTTGTAAACGTCATTCTGTTCCCACCACCGCTACCAGAATGGAACAAATAAAACGCAACTATTATTTCGACAAAAAATAAATAACTTTGAAATGATCGAGATTTAGTCAATAATATTAAAGGAGTTGATGGAAGTCACAGGGATGCTTCGAAAAATGTGCTTATATACATTATGTATATATACATTTAAAAAAAGTGAACCTGACCCTCTAGATTTTTGTCCGGTGCGCTCTGTATATGCGGCAATAATTTCTTGTTATGGACCTTGTTGTCTCATTCACATTCGATTTTCAATCGAGTTTCTAGCTATCATAGAACTCGAGCAATCGAGCTCCGACGCACTAATGTTCCACCCTGTATGTACATGTTAAAAAATTTCTTCATCTCATCACAGAGGGTTTCGGGAATATTTACAACAAACCATCATCTCGGACCCTCTTTTAGATGGCTATAACTCCCAAGGGGGCCATTTCTCTATATGAACTTCTTTCACTATATTTGTTCCTAGAATCCGTGGTTGAAATATTCCTATGTAATTTCGGGAAACCTTGTATACACTGCTGCTGCTCCCTGTATATTTTTGCAGATAGTGAAACCTACCTTTTGATTCGGAAATTGAAAAAAACTGTAGAACTCTTTCTCAGTTTTTTTCCACTGTCAAAAATACAGGGTACCCGTTTTTCGAGGCGCACCATGGGGATCGCAGTTATTATAAGAAATACGAGGTCGGTTAAATTAGGGCAACGTTGTACATTTTCATGCTGAACATTTACCTGCAAGAAAATTCGATGTGTCATTTTTAGTTTTTAAATTATTCGAAGAAAATGAAAAAATTTTAATTTTGGTTTTTATTTTTTCAAGCAAAAACCAAAAGACCTAGACGTTTCTGACTAGGACATTCTTAGAGCATTTTTTCACAAGGAACCTGAATCTGTCATCGTATTTCCAGACGTTCTTGATGCCAAAGTTAGAACACTCAACTTTGTTTCTTCCTATGGGCGCCATATCGGATTTTTGCATTTTTATGATGTATCACACGATATGATCGAATCTTTCCTGTTGATCAAAATTGACAAAAACATTTTTGCGAAGAATGCTTTGGAAGGAACGCCAACAGTTTCGTTTAAGAAACTGAATTTCGACAGTTCAATTGAATATGCGAACAGTACTGTTGAATTCTTAAGCTCATCCACATAACGCAAGAAGGGTTACCGAGTGTCTGTCAGATATGTTCCTTGACAAGGTAATCTCCAACAACGGAGACATACGTTGGCCAGCGCGGTCACCTGATCTCTCTCCACTGGATTATTATTTATTGGGGACTATGAAAGATTCGATTTTCAAAACTGTACCGATCGATATTGATGAGCTGAGAAGAACCATAATTACCACTTTCAGGACAGATAAGAAGACTGGACATCTCGCGAGCAATTGAGAATCTGAGGAAACGCGTGTATCGACTGCGTTTTGTTTTGCGAAGAATAGACTTTCTAGCTCATTACGTCGTTCCTAATTCAAAACCATAGTTTTCCAGTAGATGAGCTTGACGAAAATGTGAACGTTTCAGATTCAAATTCAAATAAACTGTCGAAATTCAGCTTGTTAAACAAAACTGTTGGCGTTCTTTCCAATGCACTCTTCGCAAAAATGATTTTTTTCCAATTTTGATCAGCAGGAAAGATTCGATCATATCGTGTGATACACCATAAGAAAAAAAAAAGTTGTGTGTTGTAACTATGGCATCAAGAACGTCATGGAAGATACGATGACACATTCAGATTCCTTGTAAAAAAGTGCCTCAAGACTGTTTCAGTCAGAAACGTCTAGATCCTTTGGTTTACGCTTAAAAAATTAAAAAGGAAAATTTTAAATTCTTCTTCTTCCAATAATTCAAAAACTAAAAATGACACATCGAGTTTTCTTGCAGATAAATGTTCAGCATGAAAATACGCAACTTTGTCCTAATTTAACCGACCTCGTATCTCTTATAACTGAGATCCCCATGGTGGAGCTCGAAAAACGGACACCCTGTATACAGGGTGGGCCACCAGTAACGCATCGGTCATCTTCTTGGAATTCTTCCTCTCTAGGAAGTTGCATGTCAACATAGGCTACCATTTGAAATTATTTCGAACATACAGAGTGTCCCCAAAAACTCACAATACACGACTGAAGTTATACTTTTTTTAATAGAACACCCTATAAATTATTACATTTCGAGATTTTCCCTGAAGGTTTCATTCCAACGACTCATCATGCTTGGGGTCTAGCAATAATAATTACTGATATAAAGGGTGTGGAAAATCGAGATTTTCCAAGTTCAAGAATCTTTTGTCTCGAAACTATCAATAATTGGTCAAAACGGTTAACATGCCCCTATCTCAACTTTTCATCCACTATCAATCGATATTTAATTCAAACAAATACTGGGTGGTACAGTATCAAGATATTCGACCACCCTGTATCTATTTTATCAAAATACCAATCGATAGTAGATACAAAATTATTACTGCTAGACCCCAAACAGGTCGTTGTAATTAGAGTTCCTAAATGTACTTGACACTGCTGATTTGACGTTTTTTGTCACAGTAGTGTGAAAAACATTTAGGAACTCTAGTTGTAATCAGCTCTTCAGGGAGTATCTCAAAATGGAATAATATATAGGGTGTTCCATTAAAAAACGTATAACTCCAGTGGATTGCTTTTTTTGGGGACACCCTGTATGTTTCGAAATAATTTCAAATGGTAATGTTGACATGCAACGTCTTCCCAAAGAGATGAGTGGTAAGCCTTCTAGAGAGCGAGGCGTTACTGGTGGCCCACCCTGTATCTAAATAAGAGATATAGAAGGTGGTATTTTATACTATTTTTCACCTGTAAAGCTTCACATCCTTCCAGAATCCCCTCCTCGATGGCCCTAACGCCATTTCCGCTGAGGTCTAGCAGCTGCAGATGGGTGAGCCCGTGGAACTCAGTGGTGGAGAATATGGGGTTCAGAGTGTCCCCCAGGAGGTTGTCTGCCAGCCTGAGCTCCACCAGGGTGGCCTGGAGGTGCTGCAGCATCCGTTCGGTCAGCCTCCGCAGGGAGTTGCCCGACAGGTCTATGCTGCGGAGGGGTAGGTCTGTCGATGTGAAAACCTGCGGAAATAATGGGGAAGCTTCCTTTATTGAGGTTTTCATTTCACTGTAATGTTTGTAAAAATTCAATATAATACTTTTTTTTTCTACAAGCGTGCGTGATTCACCCTATACCCGCACGCAATTCAGTTTGGGACGTGTCAATTTCGCGCAGTAGTGCGGGAAAAGTTTTCCCACACTAGTGCGGGAATAGTATATTGTGCAACAAGTGGGGAAAGTTCAACTTTTCTCACGAGTGTGAAAGTTTGTGGCACGAGCCTGAAGGGCGAGTGATGCAAACACACAAGTGAGAAAAGTACTTTTCTCCACATGTTGCACACTATACTTTTTCTACAACTTCACTTATCCAAAGAATCCAAGTAATGTAACTTATTGGTATTCATTTTATAATGTGGCACTATGCCACATTGAATATCGTGACCAAAGAGTAGACGCCTTTCCTAGTTTGTTCTTTTGTTCTAAAATTTGTTCTATGCCCCCTTACGAGCAACCCTCAAAAGTCTCCGAAAGTCTTGTGCGAGCAAGGAATGACGGGGGCCTTACCTTTTAACGTGTGATCCCAAACACTTGAAGTATTTCAAAAAAGTACACTTTCCGAAAAAGATTTTATTTCTGTATTTTTTTTAGATTCCATAAATATTTCGTATATGCCAAGTCATACTTTTTCGTTGAAATTTCCGGAAACAAATCCAATATTCTCAACTTTTTCAAGATCGTCACATCTCGGTACATACATCATATTATTTATTATGAATTGTTGGAATAATATTTTATAGAAACTGCGATTTCTATCAAGAGCACTAATGAGAACTACCCTGAAGAATTTTAAATACTTCTTCTGACAGTTGTGACAACTATTCAAAGCTGAACACCAGCCAATTAAGTTTTGGTAGATTTTTGTTGATTCTCCATGGAAATGTATGTGGTGTTGACAAAGTGCCGTGAGAAAAAATATTCCTCACAGTATAAGCAATACATGGTTTTGAAACTAAGTAAGCTATGAGAAATGCGCTACTTTTCATAGCTGTAGTAGAAAAAAACATTTATATAATATTCTCGCAAAATATGAGTTGTGGGTGACGGGTGACACAATATGAGAAATTTAGGTTTTATTGTTGCAGTATTTAGTAAGATTGTACAAAATCATCCATCAAATAGTACTATTATTGCGAAAATGAAGAAATATTGAAAAATATTATTTGATTGTTATATAAATCCCCCTGTAGCCTTCAATTGATCTGATGTGGAAAACAATTGTTGTCATGTTAATCAATTTTATATCATAATACATCATATTATTTATGAATTTCAGAGGATTTTCAGTTTTCATGCTCTCTTTTTGGATGATCAACAGATATAATTCAATGTTCGACGTAGCAAATGGCCAGGACAGTAATGTTTTCTGTATAATATTCAGAATCATGTTATGTGCAAATACATATTTTTATCTGAAGGAGAATGCTAATTCTCAACTTTGGAAGATTTAGTTTTCAAATTATTATCTTGTGTATTCAATAGATATAATTCAATGTTCGTCGTGGTATATAGCAACATAGCGAATACCTTTCTAGCTTCAATAAAAAACCGGAAATTCTTTCTCGAACACGAATATTTTGAAATTCTTTCCGACTCTGAGACGGTTTCCGGTGATAATTGAAGCACTTGTGGTATTATTAGTGAATATTCAGAACATCGTAATATTACTTATGTAAATATTTGTCCATTCTTTGATGTTTGCTATAGTTACCGGCTCAGATCCGACATTTCCTCACGCGATAACATTTATCACATGTCATTTCTGAGGTAAATCATGAACTGCTGCCTTTTCTTCCTTCATCATCATTGGATACTTTATATGCTCCCGATGTATTTCAATGACAAATTGTATACATATTGTTTGCCCAATCGTTAGACCATTGTCGATCTAAATGAAAACCTAGTAGGCGACCTACTAACTACCTAACCAGGTTGTCATCTAGAACGACAATGGTTAGACCTAGGGCATATAAATGGTAACATATCAAGAGAAACTGCGATTCGGCTATCGTATGTACCTATAACAGTTTCATGTCTTCAATGTTGTTGGGTATTTGTTGGATATTTCGTTTTCTTTCGAATTGAGAGATTCGAATTGAGAGATAATGTCAATTCTCAATTTCGGAGGATTTTGATTTTCATGCTCTTTTTTTGGATATTCGACGTGGCAAGTAGCCAGGAAAGTAGTTGTTTCCTGATGAATATTCAGAATGATATTATGTGCATATCTTTATATAAAGGAGAATGCAAATTCTCTACTTCAGAAGATTTTGTTTTCAAATTCTTATCGTGTGTGTTCATATAGCCAGGAAAGTAGTTGTTTTCTATTGAATAAACCGAGAAAGAATTAATATTTTCATCACATGGAGAATGCGAATTCTCAATGTATTTCTTTATACAGGGTGGCCCACGGTCGATGGTACCTTAGACGTATACGGAAAACGGTACATTGGATTATCCTGAAAATTTGGTTACTCTAATAAGCGTTCTAACGATTCAAAATATTTTCAGCGATGCAGCGTTGCCACTTTTACCAAAAAGTAGCATCATCTTTGTTATTTCAAATGGAACACCCTGTATTTCATTGCGTTTTTAGATTCTTCTCGAAGAGCTGATTTCATCAATGCATCACACTTGGGGTCTAGCAGGAATTATTATCGATCAAAACGGCTTATTGTTTCCTGAATTCTTCACTCTCTTCCACTCGTAAACATTGGATTTTTGAATTTTCCTACTATAAAAATTCGATTCACAAGTCTTTTCCTTTCAAAATATGTTCGAAATGAATTTCCGTTTCTCGTTGGTTCTAAATTGGAAAAAGGTTCTTTTTGAAACTCGCTCAGTTTATAAATAGTGGGTTCGGCTCTTCCTCTCAATACGATCCTATTCTTCAACATCAAATATTGCGTTCTGGAGTATACCTGATAAAAATGGGTTGAAAACACAAATGTTCTATATCCTACCAAGAAATTTGAATACCTCGCAAATTTTGTGGCCTGAACCTATATTCCATGCCGGCCGCATCATATTCTGTTTCTATTTTTGTAGAATCACGTAATCCGATGGAAATTCGAATAGAGTGAATTGATTTCCCGTGTTCTCACAGTTGGAAACTGCACAAACTTGCACATTCCCCCTAATTCTCTCAATTTAATCTTTATGTCATGTACGTCCGTGTACTGTCAGTTCCCGTTTTTTTCATCATTTTATTCGTGGTTATGTCTGATTGTCAGTGTTTGCCATAGTGTCCGTAAACCTGGTGGTGCACTGGTTTTGTACCAGTTTTGCACCCGCACTACGTTAGTTCTCTCCAAAATGTAAACTGGTGCATTCCCAATGGTATACGAAATAATACATATAATGAAATTTTATTGTTGGAGTTTAACTCGGATAAATTAGTTTGTCTTTGTTCATAACTTGTCCGCATCCTGAAATTCTTTCGTGACTTCAATTAACAACAAAGTAGATGTTTCATGGAAATAATTTAGAGCAATTTTTTTAATAAGTTCCTCTTCATCATTGAATTATAGTGCAAAACACTCAACAAAACCCTCAAATTTTCATCACTACTTGATGATGATGATTAGATTGCCACTCAATTTTGGTTTTAAAGCATGCATATTAATCATTCCAGAATTACGTCATTTGACAGGTTGCTGAGGGGCAAACATTGTATTTTGTCAAGATTTGTCATATGAAAACAGAATTAGTGGGATCGTTTTCCTGGAAATCCGAGTTGCAACCAGAAAGAATTTCATAATTTTGTTTGGTGAAACTGTTATTATATTGTGGATATGGCATGGATAGCCAGGGCTATGATCATCAAAGGTAGTTTAACAGATAGTTTGTGTGCCCCTCAAGAAACCATGTCAAAATCACGGGTTCTGGAATGGTCAATTCAATGTTTCCGCTTTTTTTAGAACTGCACTGAGCTCTAAACTATGTGAACCAGTTTTCCAATGGAATTCAAAATCCGACACCAGTTTTACCAATAGAATACAAAATATGCACTCAGTGCGAGCCAGTTTCACCAATGGAATTCGCTATAATAAACAAAAAACGCCAAAACAGCAGTGTCAAGTAGGTACCGGGTAAACAACTAGGAACGGCTGTCGGCCATATCTCAGCAACGAAAAATGATACAAGTATGAGATAGAATAAATCTAATGGTATGCATATTATTATACGATGTAATAGAGAAACCAAATCTCAACACACCAACGAAAACCGCAACATGATGGCTTTTCGCCAACGGAAGATATTAACTATCAAAGTTGAAAGAATGATAGGATATGAAAGCCGTTCTTAGTTGTTCACCCGGTACATTTGGAAGCTCAAATTCCCACCTGCGTTGGTAGCGACTGGTGTCCGGCCCACCGCTGCCTGAAGTACACGATGGGCGCCCCGTAGGGCAGCGATGGCACCTCGCTGGAGAACACCACCCTGTCGCAGTCGACGGATATGGCGGGGTTGCCGTCCAGGGCCTGCTCGACGGGGCCCAGGGCGCAGGCGCAGGGGAACCGCAGCTCGCTGGAGATCTCTATGCAGGGTCTGAAGTCGCTCGGGGCGGTGGACGAAGCGATGGCCGCCAGGGTGAGGAGGACGTAGGGTGTCAGGAACATCTGCAAAAAAAACAAGAGAAGGTTATGGTCAGTTACTATTCCCCAGCAAACATCGAATCTCTGGCCGCCTTCTTGCCCAATGCATGATCAGTCGGCAGAGTTCTAGCAACCAGCACTGGACCAGTAGTATCAAATCGTGATGCCATTTCACTACGTCTTCTAAACATCGGCCCTTTGTATGGTATATTGAAATCATTCATCAGACTTCATCATGATATTACCTACACATCATCAGCCCTCTCCTGTGTAATTTAGATTAAAAGATATATATACTTTATGATGATACAATGTGAAACGAAATATTGGGAAACAATTAGTTAGCACATGATATTATATGATACGACACGATTGTAAATAATGAAATATTTTTTTTCTTTACTCACATAACCAAAATGGCATTTAGCGTACGGATATGTACCACGCTAAATGATCGATTAATCACGGATCGACGATCTGTGATTTATTCAAAATATTAAACACGTTACCATGGCAACACGGAACACACAGCTTCAGTAATTTGAAACATGTCTGGCCTGTCAATTGTATTACCTGTCAACTGGTATTTTCAAATTTTGTATCAGAATTATTCAAACAATATAGAATATAGAAAACGAAACGAAATGAAAGAATACAAATTTGTTGAAAAACAAATATTTTGGAAGATATCGAGCTTCAAAGTTTGCCTTAAACTTTTGTAAAACATCGATCAGAGGTTGCTAGCCCAACCCAAGCTTTTGCTTTTGGCGAAATCTCAAGCACCGGAAGAATTAATGACGATTTCAATGTTGCCGGACGTTTAATGCCTGATAGTTAAAAGATGTAGTATGGTGGGAGTGCACATATTTCGAAAACAATTTCAAAACATATTTTTTTATTTATCGTGTCATTATGCCTCATATAGAATACCTCATTTTATTTATTGCCCCTATTTCAGAAACACCCTCTGTATATGCGAAATGTAGACGAAGGTGTAATTGAAGAGAGTGTTCTGGTACTTGCATATCTCCTAGAAGTGTAAAAATGAAGCATCCATCTTTGAGAACAATTTATTTATTCTGTGCTAAGCATGACAATAAACGTGAAACAAAGGTTAGTAAGCAATGTACTGGACACATCTACAACCAATATCACTTATACGTGTCTCGCTGGTAGCATGCAATTGCATGTATTATGTTCTCAATTCCTATTCCTTTCGAATTATTTTGTAGGTTAGCAGGAATAGCAGGTATGTTAATGTAATTTTCGGAGTTCGTAGAAAGAGCATAGTATGTAACGCGTTTATAAACTCTTCTAGACACTCGTTTATTAAACACTCGCTCCGCTCGTGCTTAAAATACTTGTTACTAAAAGGACGCGTTTATGACACTTGTTACATAATATACTACTCTGCAAACTCTATGATTAATAATAGTTTTCTAAAGTAGATAGTATAGGTGAATTAAGAATACGTAATTGTTGAAAATTGACAAACGAAGTCTCCCCACTTTCAACACTGTTATCTATAATAAAATAGGTAGGAATATTTTCATCATCTTCTAGTGCTACCTATATATATATAGAGATCCTTTCGACAGTGATGGAGGAATAGTAAACGTCAATTCACCTATTATATTATTTTTCGTTCTTCAACATTCCGTTGTGTAGGTATAGGTATCCGATATTTGCTTGTTTGCTGATAGGTAAATAAAATAAACCTACCTATGGAGTCATCATATTTCAATCAAAACAAACTCAGGTGAGTGACAGAAACTCGTCTACCTTATCGGAGAATTAGAAATTGTTGTCATCTGTTATGATATGATTATTATATAAGTATTAATTGATAGTACCCATAAGTCATCCGTAGTCAATATCTAAGAGTGAAAATGGCTCAGTTATGGTGAGATCCCGGCTTGGTCGCAGGTTCGAACGCGGCGACCGGCACTTCTTTTTTTAATTTTAGGTCTGACGGTATACAGATATTGTTCCGGTCGTCGGCCAGAGTGACCTATTGACGTCTGACCGACGTCGTTTGCCGATCTTTTGCCGCGTCGGCAACTTCTGGCAAGCATGTTTTGGACCGACGTAATAACGACCGAAATTGTTTGCTGGGTTGGTATTGTTATCCAACTATAGAGATGTTCTGCAATCACATTTATTCGCATGTTCACCTCCGAAGCCGTTTTTCAATGTCATTTAGAGCAAGACCCAATTTATTTAGATACTTGTATCTTCTCTTAAAAAGGAGATATTGACGTGAACCTCAAATCATTTTGTCAAGAGGGACTCACACTTCAATGCAAAACCTTATGATGCTATAAGTTCAACCGCTCACCTTTGCCACACAATGTTACGAAGTTTCGGGTGAAAGATCTAGTAACTTTTGTTTCTCTGTCTCTGTTATCAACACACTTCTATTTTTTTATTTTCTACATCTTTTTAGTTTGGCTTATATAAGGGTGTACTTGAGTTTTTTAAACTACTATTTTAAGAATTAAAATTCAGACTAAGACTCCGAAACATGAATTCACGATTTGGTCAAAATTTCACCAGAATCGAACAAGAATTAAAAATAAGTTTCAATTTTTGCCGGCGAGTGCTGTATTAATCGTATGAAAAACCATCGAAACTTTTTACCAATGAAAATATATGCATTAGTAAAAAATATCGCAGCTTGTAACTCTTTTGTCACTGCTGTACTGAGGCAGAAATAAGTTATCTGTCTCTGATTTGAGTCAAAATTCGTGGTGAAAACGGTGTAAGTATAAAATATCCAACTGTACTCATTTTCATAACGAATATTTTATTCATAGGTCTCCTTCAAGTGTCAAGATAACGATCGAATTTTGAAATTGGCATTGCCAGCGCATGCGTAGTCACAACGTTTTACGTCCTGTTGAAAATGCTCACGTCCAATATCTCATCCCAGTAGCTCTTGGGTTTCATGGAATCAGAACTGTACCAGGAAAGTTTGATACCTACTTTGCTTCATTTCCAAAAATGAAGATTCGCTTCTGCAGAAATTGCTTGCGCGATACCAAAAACAAGAATTTGTTTGGTCACCCCTGATGGTTATCCCTGGAAACCTCTCGAAAAACATCACACAATCCATTGAAGGAACTGAAAACATACAAACGGTACAAGAGGTGACTTGGAAAATCTCCATCGATAGGTACTATACACCTACCTCTTGTTGGCCAATATATATTCTTCATCATAAGTCAATATTTATATTCAATTAATCAATTAAAATTTGAACCTGCGGTATAGATGCAAGCCACATGTTTTTGGCACTCCGTGTTCATATTACGTTTGACCCACATTTCGCAACGGCTGAATTCCTGAATGATTATCCCACGCTTATTTCATACTTTTTCATGCCTCTTGCACTTGACTTGGACAAAGGCAGTGTCATGTTGTTAATAATTTGCATTAGGCCTGGAAAAAATATCGATAAATATATCGATGAAACTGGGTATGCAGTCAAAGAAAAACAAAGTGTATTCTTGTTTCTGTTCGAGCTTTCGAGTCTTCATTGGCTCTTCATCAGGCACTCTATAAAACATTAAAATTGATATGAAAATTCAATAGTACTTTTTGTATTTATTTAAAAAGCATTTGTCTCAGAAGCAAACAATAAAAATCCCTCTTTTTTGCTATCCTTAATGGGTCGAGACTAGCCTTACTATGCCCTCCTCTCTCAAACATCGCCTAGATTCGTCCCTGTGATTTAGTAGGGTGTATATATAGTATCTACAATTCCTGCCAAATATGACAATAAAGACTTGCAGGAACTTTCAAGGTCAATAACTCCGTAACGAAGGTTAGGTTAGGTTCAATGTGAGTGGGGCGAATACCGCCCCTCCACTGCGACCCCAGATGGGTCTATCGTGGCTCACCCCTAGAGGTACAGCTTACTGTACAATCCACATCTTTTAACAAAGTTCATTAGGTGAAATTAGTCTGGATTCGCTAGGTTCTAAATTGGTAAAGCCATCAAATATATCGAACCTTATAGTCTCTCTAAGTGAGAGCATGAACATAGTATGTGTTCAGTCGTTTCGTCTTCCACATAGCAGAATCGATAGTCCGTTTGTTGGTTCAGACCCATCCTTCCCAGGTGGTATCTTAGACGACAGTGTCCCGTAAGCAGTCCTGTCAGAATTCGCATGTTACGCCTGCTCCATTCTAGGATCTGCCTGGTTATATTTTTCGAAGGTTTAGGCAGAAACGCCTTCGAATTCGTTTAACCCTGGTAATTCAGACCAGTACGTGAGTCTCTTTCCCTCCGCCCAGTCCGAGATTGTTGTTTTGGCCGCACTTGTGGTGACCCCAAAGTATGGTTCTGGTACTATGAACACAGATTCGGTTCCCTGTTTGGCGAGGATGTCGGCTTTCTCGTTGCCCTCTACCCCCTGGTGTTCAGGCACCCACACCAAAAAAACTCTGTTGTTGGCACCTAGGCATTCTAGGGATTCAATGCAGCTCCATACAAGCTTGGAATTCATCTTACTGGAGCTCAGTGCTTTAAGAGCAGCCTGACTATCTGATACAATGCTGATGTTTTTGTTTACTAGAGGTCTTATTTGTCAACTCTCTAGCACACAATTCAATTGCGAAGACCTCCGCCTGAAAGATTATAGCATACTTACCGAGATTGACATAAATTTCCGTCTTCGGTTTCCTGCTGAACACACCGGCTCCGACTCCGAGAGGGGTTTTCGAACCATCTGTGTACATTACATGTTCGGTCTCTGGGAATTGGACAGATCCACTTACTCACTCGTCTCTCTTCGGAAAGAGGACTTTGAAATACTTTTTCACGTGTGTCTGAGTGGCCAACATGTCGGGAACCATTCCTAGAGTTTGGTGATTTTTTATTTCACACAGTATCCCGGAGTGGTCCAGCTGTCGCCCCCCTCTAATTTGTTTTTCCTATGGACGATGGTTTTTCCAATGACAGGAATTTGTAGGAAACAATCCTGGCTTCCCTCTCCAAGACAATGTGGAGGGGAGTTAGT